ATTTCACAGAATTGTAATAACCTGTTTCTTTTTAATGAACTTTAAAAAGTTTTTTTCAGATTCTTACGGGATGGAAGGGTTAAATATTATCAGTGAAATAACTGCTTTCATGTATTCTGTCAGCTATTAAATAATGTCCATGAAATATCCTAATCTAAATTAGAGATAAAATCCATCAAGTTTCATAATACATCCAGTAAAATTTGTTTAAATAAGCACAGAAGATGACAATGAGATATCCTAATCTGAAACAGATATGATTTGTCATGACTCACGATATATCTTGTAACATTTGAGAACAATGTCAATAATAAATCTGAATGTGAAAATGAGATATGATTAATCCTTAACATTTGGGTTCATAAGAACATGAGTAGAAAAATGTCAATGAGATATCCTAACATGAAACTGATGTCAGATTCAACTTGTAACATCATAGTATATAAGTTCAGGCATGGACAAATGTCAATGAAATAACCTAATACGAAAATGATTTGAGTAAAATTATCACAATCACGGAATATCTTCTGGATTCTAGGAAATCTCACAGATGAAATTCATTCAATAAAGCCATCAGGCTTGTTACAGACAAGCAAACAATATATTGAAGACAATGTATAGAAGAGTTTCCTAAAAATGTCCTCACTTACAACAGTAAAAGCAAATCATGGGATTTCTCAACTTGTAGATCTACAAACAAACATATCCTACCAGGCAGCCTCCAAAGCAAACTCATCCACAGAGATCGTCTATGTTTTGTAAAAATGAAGCTACATACACACAGATCACTATTCAAGTAACATCTCTATCACTAATAAAGTCCATAACAGCAAAAATGAATATATCAAAACAAGCATTGACATAAGACTCTCAGAACAAGCTTATGCCCAAACATGCAATCTTGATTACTTCAGCCCTGCAAAAACAAAAGCAGTTGTCAAAACTCACTCTGAGAGAGGACCAAGCAAATGTAAGTCACTGTTTCATGGATGAGAAGAAAGAACACAAAAGAAACAATGAACTACAACAAATTATCTAAAATAAATAAATAATTCTCTCGCACACAAAAGATAAGCCACGTGGCACCATCATAACATATGCATACTGCTCAGGATTTGACCCAAATGTTTTCAGCCTCTAATGTCGAGTTTTATTCAGATCGAGGGTAGAATAAATACGCCCACAATCAATTTAGTAGTCTTTGAATGCTAGCCTCTGTGTCCTTTCCAACAATCTTTTGTGATAAACTTTACAAAAGCTGCAGATTGTGTCTCGACTGTCAGGAGGTTCCCACTTTCCTCCTTCCCATGTTTATTATATGCATTTACATTCAAGAAAACATGCAAGAACATACATACACTCATAAATACTTGTAGATAGGTCAGCTTTAACATGTATGTACATAATGCAGACACAGACACTCGTATACACAACAAATATTTGTTAACATGTATATACTTACATATGAGAACATACATTCATTCACAGACATTAGTGCATGCATACAATCATGAAAAAACATATACACAAACAATCACAAAAACATTTATGAATGAACAAATGAGCACTCATGTATGCACACAGTCATGAAAATAGTTGTCCAAACCATACACAATCATGAAAACATTTATGAAATTACACCTTCATGAAATCATTTGTGAACACAGACACACATAATTTTCTGAAGAAACAACACATACATGATCAGACATTCATACAAAATATCAGCTACCATTAATCTCTTTCAGCGCCAAGAGAAAGAAACACCAACGCTCTCTGAAACCATAATAACCATTATTGATATAAATGTTTTGGACAGAACACAAATCCAGAAAAGCAAATCTGGCTTACATACTACAAACTGGCAAATGATATTAACTGATGACTGTTTCTAGTGTATTTAACGCTTCCAGTACCCCAAGATTTTGTTACAGATGACTATGGAGTTCATAAACACATTGAAAAGGCTTCAATATGTAACTTCCAAAGAGGCAGCAAAAACTGTGATTCATGTTAAAATATCTAGCCAGGTTTTTTTTAGTATGCTCAGTCCAAATGTAAATCAAGCAACAACACACTATGCACTTATTGAGACAGAAGTTTGTCAGCAGACATGTTGCTGAACACAATGTGGCGCAAATATAAACAACTGTTTTAGTTACCCAATGTAGTATTCACAGCACCTCTGTTTTACCAACTGATTTAGCACCACTGCTGTTTTACCAACTGATTTAGCACCACTGCTGTTTTACCAACTGATTTAGCACCACTGCTGTTTTACCAACTGATCTAGGAGCTGCATTATCTTCAGGGCACTCTGGACACATCAATAGGTGCTCAGATTCCCCCTTCAGCATATTCATCAGCATCATTTGGTTTATAGTGCCAGCCCTTAGTTAACAAGACTTTTTATACATTCGGTGTGCCTCTAATGTCTGGGTGTGCCGATCTTTACTCTTAATTTTCATATTCTCAACAGTAATGAGGACAAGCTGCTATATATATATAATTTCATTGATACAGCATTGAGAAGAATCCTAGTCAGTAAATATATGGATTATGCTGATATTAAAGGTTTAACCTTTCAATTTAACTATTAACATCGGCACAATCCATGCTGTTTTACTGACTGTAGGATTCACCTTAATGCTGTATTAATCATTGTAGGTTTCACCTTAATGCTGTATCAATCACTGTAGGTTTCACCTTAATGCTGTATCAATCACTGTAGGTTTCACCTTAATGCTGTATCAATCACTGTAGGATTCACACCACTGCTGTATAATCCACAATAGTATGCACACTACTGCTCATTAGAGGATCATCTTCACTGCACATCGAATGTACCCACAGTTTTCTGATCATCTTCACTGCACATCGAATGTCCCCACAGTTTTCTGATCATCTTCACTGCACATCTTCACTGCACATCTTCACTGCACATCGAATGTACCCACAGTTTTCTGATCATCTTCACTGCACATCTTCACTGCACATCGAATGTACCCACAGTTTTCTGATCATCTTCACTGCACATCGAATGTCCCCACAGTTTTCTGATCATCTTCACTGCACATCGAATGTACCCAGTTTTCTGATCATCTTCACTGCATATCGAATGTCCCCACAGTTTTCTGATCATCTTCACTGCACATCGAATGTCCCCACAGTTTTCTGATCATCTTCACTGCACATCGAATGTCCCCACAGTTTTCTGATCATCTTCACTGCACATCGAATGTACCTACAGTTTTCTGATCATCTTCACTGCCTGCACATCGAATGTACCTACAGTTTTCTGATCATCTTCACTGCACATCGAATGTACCTACAGTTTTCTGATCATCTTCACTGCACATCGAATGTACCCAGAAGTTTTATGTACTTCTCCTAGACATTTTCTTTAGTCTGTTTCTGCTAATGAGTCTTGTTCTACAAAATAATCACTGTAGGATTGAAACTACTGCTGCAATACCCAATGCAGATTAACAACAATGCTACCACGGTAAGATATTAACAACAATGTGATTATCCATAGTGGGATTGATACCATAGCTGTACAACCCACAGTAGAATTAAAATTACTGCTGTATTACCCACGGTAGGATTACAAATACTGGTGTATTACCCACAGTAGGATTAACATTACAGATGTGTTTTCCAGAGCAGACTTAAAATTACTGCTGTATTACCCACAAAAGAATCACAAAAACTGCTTCCTCACAGTAGGATTTACAAATGCTGTGTTTTATCCACAGCAGGATTGGTTACTTTTAAATTTCTTAAATTTTTTATTGCAAACTTTACAAATAGAAGTCTTCAGGAGCTTTTCATCAGGTACTGCTTCTCCTGCAATATTACACTTGCCACCGCACAGGAAGCAGTGCCAAGCTGTATACAGAACCACAAGCTTCAGCTCAGACACGAAACAACCTTCCACGAGATGAGGGCCTGTAGAGAGACAGAGAAGAGAAGAGAAAAGAGGAGAGAAGAGAAGAGAAGAGGAGAGGAGAGAGAGAGAGAGAGAGAGAGAGAGAGAGAGAGAGAGAGAGAGAGAGAGAGAGAGAGAGAGAGAGAGAGAGAGAAAGAGACACCCACATGATGTGATGGGATTCATGAGGAAAGAACCATTCACACATCATACGCTGTTTGGGACTTTTATCAGATCACTCACTATTTTCTTCAAGCCTCTTATATAATAAAATGAATTCAAGCCAATGACACACCACACTTTTGGAACCAAAAGAACCTTTCTGGGACTACAAACTACATTCTTGAACAGCGAGTTTTGAAAACAAATGCAGCATGCAATCAGGGTTATTCGGCAGCCAATCCATAATGTCTTGCATCGAATGGAACTTGATCCATATTTTAATTTGTCCTTTGTGACACTTTCACAAAAATAGAAACCAAGGCATGAGAAGAATAAAAGCTAAATCATGCTAAAAGATTGTTCAAATGTTATCTATAAATGTGTTTTAAAACAACTGTTTTACAAATTTTACCAGAAGAATCTATGAATGTCCACTAAATTAAAACAATGTTCAAATGTTATCTATAAATGTATGTTAAATGAAAGAAGTTTTTAAATGTTTACCAGAAGACATCTATGAATGTGCACTAAATTAAAACAATGTTCAAATGTTATCTATAAATGTATGTTAAATGATAACAATACTTGAAATGTTAGCTATAATTGTTTTTTTAAATACAAACATTCACCTTTTTCAAGACAACTAATGATTGGTAAATAACAATAATGTTCAAATGTTACCTATAAATGTATGTTAAACAAATACTTTTAAACATTACCTATAAATCTATATTAAATAAAAATTATGTTCAAATGTTACCTATAAATTTATGTTAGATGAAAACAAAGTTGAAATGTTTAGGAGAAGACATCATAAATTTGTATTAAACCAAAACAAATTGAAACATTCTAACCAACACAAAACTATAAATTTGTTATAAATTACTAAGCATGGTCAAAATTGGGCTCAGCCATTGGCCACGAGCGTAGGGATCCGGCCATCAGAGGATGCACCTGGGCTCAGCTGCACAAGGTGTGAGTAACATCGGCGACACACCCTCTCAGGGTTGTTCAAGTGCTGGTGGGGCACTGGTGCCAGTCTGTCAGAGCAGTCGGCGCAAAATACTTTCCCACAGTTTCTGTGGAAATACAGATGACAGGTCAGGTGATACTAGTGCGGGATAAGGCAGTGAACAGAGACTGCTCAGTACTTGTGCAGACTGCACACAAGAACACTGCAAAACAATCATGGATATGTAAGTAGTCAAATAAAGCACCTCTTACATCAAACAATGAGGCTAGACCCATATTTTTATGTCACCTCGATGAGTGATATGGTCAAAATCATGCCAGCTGCCTTTACTTTCCAGGACTCTACCTGGTACCAGGATCGACCTGGAAGCCAAGGCTTCATGTGGATTTGAAACCATGAGCTTCAGATCCTCAGGCACGCATATACCGGCCACACCACAGCAGCTTCTACTATTAATATGGATCATCTATCATCTGAGGATAGAACTAAGCTGCTAAATTAGGCACATCCTGAGAGCATGTGAGCAGAAAATCACCAAACAGGCAGGTGGAAAAGGCCTTTAAAGCAGTCCGTGGTGGGAGCAGCATTCTGCCCAAGACCTGCAACATGATGAGTGTGCATCCACAGATGAATAATGACCTGTGGGCCACAGGTGTTCACTGTAAGGGGGGAGTCTCGGAGTCTCTTATGCAGTTATCTTCTGAAAACAATTACGTGACTCATGGTCCACCTTCAGCTCTACAGCCACAACTTTACAGGCTCAAAGTGGAAGGTAACTGTGTTTTATTCAACATGATCTCTCACCAGGTTTCCATCTTACAAGTTGTCCACCTGGGCCTCATTTTCATAGGGTGTTTCTTTGGGCTTCTTTCTCACATGGTGTTTCTTTGGGCTCTTTTCTCACATAGTGTTTTTTGGGGCTTATTTTTCATATGGTGTTTCTTTGGGCTCCTTTCTCACATGTTTTTTTTTGGGGCTTATTTCTCATATGGTGTTTCTTTAGGCTCCTTTCTCATAGTGTGTCTCTCTATGCCTCATTCTCACTGGATATCTTATTAGGATTCATTCTTACTAGATGTTGAAAGTACTTCACTCTACAAATTCAATGCAATAAAAGGTACCCATATCATTTCTGATGTTAAGAATATCTGCACAGAAAACTAAAGCATTAATAGCGCTAGTGTATGTTTTCTTCATGCAGGTGCGCTATCTGTGCAGTTAGAGAATTCAAAGAAAATTACAGTTTGTCCACATAAGAAAAAACCTCATCACACATTGACTGACAAAATTACCAACTGACTGACAAAATCACACAATGACTGACAAAATCACACAATGACTGACAAAATTATCAACTGACTGACTCAATTACCCAATGACTAAAGCACTGTTACTCAAGGACATGGAACAAATCCCCATTGAAATAAAACAAAACATCCAAAAGTTAAAAAAAAAGTAAAGATCCCTTTTCACGCCTTTCGGCACATCGGGCATATGGGCAGAGCGTCCCATATTTTTACAAACCATCAGCACTCTGTGGGTAATGTGGTCAGCATAACGCCGGCTGTCTTTACTCTCCCAGGACAGCCCATCCTGGTACCCATTTTGGGCTGGGTCGACCTGCGATGTCCCATACCACGACAAAAATCCACGCAGCCTGCAGTGGGTTTCGATCGCGGTATGCTGGCTTACGAGTCGGACTCGCAACGCCTTAGCCACGGACGCTGCCAAAACATCCAAGATCAGGAGAAAATCACACAAAGAAATATAATTCTGAGGAAAGTAGAAATTCACTAATGGACAGTTACAGAAAAAAATAGAACATGAGATATGAGAAAACAAAATGAGAAAAGCGACTGAGGATAAGATGAAAGAAAATAGTCCAAAGATATTTCTTCATTTGCCCTTAAAAGGGCTGTTAGCATGTTATGTTGTGGTATATATCTAAGCTATGATATTTGCTCCTTTTGGCCCAACACATTCCAATTTCAGAAATTCCTTAACTGATTGGCGCTTTTCCGTCTTTCCAGACGATAGTGTGTGTTTTTTGTGTGTGTGCGCCATGAGGAGGTACAGAACTCACAGCCGTGGTGATGACGAGTGTGAACAGCAAGAACCGCCCACGTTAAGAAGTCTTCAATAATTATAGAATGGGATTTCAGGGCCTTGTCAACATTTGAAATTCTTAATTAGGCACCTTATTATTACAAACTTCTCAAGCAGCAGCGAATCTATCACCCCCCCCCCCCCCCCCCCAATTAGGGTCCTGAAACCCACAGGGGGATGTCCAAGAAAAAACAGAATAGTGCCTGGCAGGACAATGTAAAACAGCACTGGCAGCTGGTTTAGCAGCATAGCTGACTACAGGGCTTTACTTCAAGGGAGAGGGTAGTTAGAATTCCCACTGTACATTTCTAGCCTTATTGATTTCTCTGAGGAAATGATTAAGAGTAATGATGCGGGTCACTCAACCTTAATGTGACCTGATAAATTCTGAGGTCAAGTCTCAACAAGATTATGACCATGGGGTTGGCTGTGCATGCAAGGATAAGGAAGCATAAACAAACAAATCTGCCTCTATTTTCCAAGACAATATGCTGCTCTTAGAAGGAAAAAAAGCTATGCTAGGATAGGCAAAGAGAACTACACACTAGACTTAACAAGTGCACCACCCCTGATACACACTTCAATGAACTAACCGACAGTGATGCTTGCGTCTCAACATCCGAAACTCCGCATCGCACCCAGCGCAGTGTGTGACGGCGGCATCAGGCACCCACATGATGATCTCGGCTTCAGACTTCTCCACTGCCTCCCAGCTGGCATCCGAGGCATTGCTGATGGCACCTAGTGACACCAATTCCCCTCCGTCTGAGTCATTCACCTGAAAAAGAAACATTCCCACCACTTTATAGGCTGAGTGAGTTGATTCAAGAACCAACTTCACAGCACTCGGGGCATTCCCATAAGCGTTCCATCCCTATCTTCAGCAGCCAGAGCAGAGTTCCGATACTAATGGTGCCAGTACCATTCTGATTTAACGTCCCTCTTGCCTTTCCTCTGAGCCTCAAGCATCTACCAGAACCTCTCGTCACTACCCCCTGCATCAATCTCACCAGACTGAGGTGATCCATTTGCTCCTTCGAACTGTATACGCTCTTCCACAAGGCACAAACCACGTCTGCCTTATCATGCATCAGTATTCCACCAAGCTGTGCAAAGCCAGCCAGTCTGTCTGCCTGTTCATTTCCCAACACACCGGCGGCCTAGTGAAAAAATCCAGACAATACTTCTCACCCGTGTCCTCCGCAGTGAAGCATGCCACTCTGCATGAAGCATGCCTGTCCTGACCTTCCTCAGCATGCTTTCTGAGTCAGTCATCAGGATGTGTGAGTGTCGTGTTCTCTAACCAGCGGAAAGCTGCAGTGACTACCTCCACCTCCATTTTTAAGCTGGATGTTGTGCTAGGCTCTCCTGCACCAAATGCTGACCATTAACTTTTGCTAAGAAACCCCAAGCACTTCTTTCACCTCTTGACAATGAACCGTGTAAATAATCAAATCTTCTGAGCAAGCATTATCTTGAATTAATTGCTGAATTTCCACCTTGATGGTACCTACTGGCCAGTCTCTGCATTCCTGACTCTGTGTGATTATGACCCTACACAAGTCTGACTGTTCGGGTGGCACTTTGACCCACTCTTCTCCTCAGCTTATGTTCTCAAGGATGCAAACCTGTCTGATTGTGTCTTCTGCCTGAGCCATCCATGACTTCCCTTTTATCAGCCTCTGACCCTTAACTGCCCCCAGAGCTTCGTCCCACTTGATGGGATCTGGAGAAGGTGTGCCTGTCTCACAAAGTTCACATTTTTCTGTCTTCCTGCAGCAGTAGATGATGGTAATTCCATGTAAGTTACTTCTGTAGAAGTCTACAATGATCAGTTCCCGTCTTAATCTTTACACCCCAGAAACCTTTGGGGGTGGGGTTCCAATTTGACAATTCCTGGCAATAGCATCCTTTACAAAAGTATATTTATAAAAAAAAAAAAAAAAAGACAGCTCTGAAATAGTTTTTTTCTATTTGTGTGTGTATGTGTTTTAAATGTATTTTTACAAATCAAATTCATTTTTTTTTTTTTTTTTGCAAATCAAATCACCCTTTATGCAAAATCAAATTTACTTTTTTGCAAATCAAATTCACCTTTTTGCAAATCAAACCATTTTTATGCAAAACCGAATTCACCTTTTCACAAAAGCAATACCACAAGAATTTTTTTTAAAAATCTTTTGTAATAAAAATGAAATCTTAAAATTAAAACAAAAAGGTATTGAAATTGAGCATTTTATTACCTTTGTGTAACCGTAAACATAAAAAAAAAAAAAAAAAAAAAACTTGTTTAACTGAAGATCTTAAGTTCAAATCTGCACTGGGTGGATGTACAAAGAAAAAAGTAACACTGACCCTTAGTTGCCTAATAGTGCGGAAGAACTAACAGATCTCCACCGTCTGAAGAGAATCGGGCAACACTTAGCAGCTGGGCAAATAATCACTGCTAGTGCTACCATCACAACTAGAACTCTCTGCAGGCTGATGAAAATGGGGGACTGGGTATAGGAGGGAGGGAGGGAGGGATGGAGAGGAGGGGGTAAAAAAAAGAGAGAGAGAGAGAGAGAGAGAGAGAGAGAGAGAGAGAGAGAGAGAGAGAGAGAGAGAGAGAGAGAGAGAGAGAGAGAGAGAGAGAGAGAGACACAGAGGCAGAGACAGAGAGAGAGAGACAGACAGACAGAAAGAGAAAGACAGACAGAGAGAGATGGAGAGAGAGAGACAGAGAGAGAGAGAGAGAGAGAGACAGACAGACAGAGACAGAGAGAGAGAATGAACAAACTTTATTTTCAAAAGGTCACAGATCTGGCACCACCACGCAGGCTCATATTACATCTGGTCCTTCCAAACACTCATCTTTCACACAACAGTTGTATGTTATCAATTATGTTCATATAACAATATGCATAATATGAAGATGCAAGAGGTGCTCACCAAGTCATCCAACAGAGCCGGCTGTGGCTGTTGCTGGTGTGACATGAATCCCCTGGACATCTCAATGAAATAGTTCAGTTTGAACCTGAGGTCCTCAATTTTGCGATCCTTCTCAGCGATCACCTGCGCCAGTAGGTCTTGCCTCTCATCACAGAATAAGGTCAGACCATCAACGTCGATGTGCTGTGAAATGCTGGGCTGTCGAAGCTGAAACAACAGTTTGTTCACTAGAAAGAAACAGCTGAGATATACTTGGCACAGAATGTTGAATTAAGAATCAACATTGCATGACTCAGGACACCCTCATAAACACTGTCCCAATCTTCAGCAGCAACCGAAGAGTTCCAATTACGATGGTACCAGTAACTGTCTGATCGTATATTCGTCTGGCCCTTCCCTTGAGTGTTCAGTGTTGGCCAGATCCCCTGGTAACTCCCTGCAGTGCCATTCTCCTCAGACCATAATGATCTATCTGTGCCTCTGCACTGTTCACTCGCTCCCAAAAGGCCCTCACAACATCTAGCTTGTCATACATCAGTTCACCACCAAGTGGTGCAAAACTGGCCAGTCTATCTGCCTGCTCATTTCCCAACACACTGGCATGAACTGGAAAAAATATCTGAAGGAGGCTAACTATCTGGAACCTCAGAAGTGATGCTTGCCACTCTGCAAGGAGCATGCCTGTCACCACCTTTCTCAACATGCTCTGTGAGTCAGTTATAGGTACGTAGTTCGCTTCTGTAGCTTAAGTACTGTTACCGCAGTTTTCATTCAGATGCAGGCAAGTTAGCAGTAAACAGTTTTGCACTGGTTCTGATGATGATATGAGAGTTGAACCATGGGGGGTATACTGTACTGCACAAGGCAGAGGTGTGATCTCTCACCTGTGGGGTGAGGTAACACCTGGAGACCATATCGCAGTGGGGAGTATCTGGACTCTGGCTGCCACTCCAGACTCAGGGGAAAGGTGAGGCAAGTAGTTAAATCAGATGACAATGGGTAATATTAGTAGATAAGACTCTTCGCTAACTGCTGAGGATGGAGATAGAGCTAATATGGGCTTTGTCCTGAATACTGAAATGTTAAATCTTTAACCTAGATGAACCCAAATCTGATCTATTACAGTGCTACAACATCAGACTTTCATAAAGTGTCACAGTACCAGACTACCACACAGTGCCACAACACCAGACTAACACACAGTGCCACAGTAACAGACTACTACACAGTGACACATTACCAGACTACCACACAGTACCAGACTACCACACAGTACCAGACTACCACACAGTACCAGACTACCACACAGTGCCACATTACCAGACAACCACACAATGCCCCATTACCAGACAACCACACAGTGCCACAGTACCAGACTACCACACAGTGCCACAGTACCAGACTACCACACAGTGCCACATTACCAGACAACCACACAGTGCCACAGTACCAGACTACTACACAGTGCCACATTACCAGACAACCACACAGTGTCACATTACCAGACAACACAGTGCCACAGTACCAGACTACCACACAGTGCCACATTACCAGACAACCACACAGTGCCAGACTACCACACAGTGCCACATTACCAGACAACCACACAGTGCCACAGTACCAGACTACCACACAGTGCCACATTACCAGACAACCACACAGTACCAGACTACCACACAGTGCCACATTACCAGATAACCACACAGTGCCACATTACCAGACAACCACACAGTGCCACATTACCAGACAACCACACAGTGCCACATTACCAGACTATCACACAGTGCCACATTACCAGACAACCACACAGTACCAGACTACCACACAGTGCCACATTACCAGACAACCACACAGTACCAGACAACCACACAGTGCCACAGTACCAGACTACCACACAGTGCCACATTACCAGACAACCACACAGTACCAGACTACCACACAGTGCCACATTACCAGACAACCACACAGTACCAGACTACCACACAGTACCAGACAACCACACAGTACCAGACAACCACACAGTGCCACATTACCAGACAACCACACAGTACCAGACTACCACAGTGCCACATTACCAGACAACCACACAGTGCCACATTACCAGACTATCACACAGTACCAGACAACCACACAGTGACACATTACCAGACTATCACACAGTGCCACATTACCAATCACACAGTGCCACATTACCAGACTATCACACAGTGCCACATTACCAGACTACCACTCAGTGCCACATTACCAGACAACCACACAGTGCCACATTACCAGACTATCACACAGTGCCACATTACCAGACTACCACACAGTGCCACATTACCAGACTATCACACAGTACCAGACAACCACACAGTACCAGACAACCACACAGTACCAGACAACCACACAGTACCACATTACCAGACTATCACACAGTGCCACATTACCAGACTATCACACAGTGCCACATTACCAGACTATCACACAGTGCCACATTACCAGACTATCACACAGTGCCACATTACCAGACTATCACACAGTGCCACATTACCAGACTACCACACAGTGCCACATTACCAGACTATCACACAGTACCAGACAACCACACAGTACCAGACAACCACACAGTACCAGACAACCACACAGTACCAGACTACCACACAGTGCCACATTACCAGACTATCACACAGTACCAGACAACCACACAGTGCCACAGCACCAGACTACTACATAGTGCCACAGCACCAGACTACCACACAGTGCCACAGTACCAAACTACCACATCGTGCAACAATTCCAAACTATTACATAGTGCCACTTTACCAGACTATCACATAGTGGTGCCACAGTAGCAGACAATGTGACATTTGTTTTCTGTCATCCTTTACTTATATTTACTTCAGTCTTCACAGTTGTTAAACTGAGAGTACTAACTCTTTCTTTGAATTAATGAGTACAGAAGGAGGGGGAGAGGGGCCACTATAAGATATAAGGTGACTTTCTTAGTTTCCCAGAATTTTTAAAAATTAACAAATAGAAGAAATGCACTGTATGCCATAGTATGGTAAAATAACTGTGTCCAATTGTGAATCCTCTAAATGAAGGTTCGATCATGCATGTACTGAGCTGGCTGCTTGGTGAATCCTCTGGAACAGTGTTGCCCATGCCCATTCTTAAGTATGACTATTAACAAGTATGAAGGCATGGCAGACCTTGAGAATATGAAAGGCCTGCAGGATCTTAACTAGCTGTGAGCCACTGCTCTTAAGACTGATACTTCTTCTTCCTTTAGCGCTCACCAGCAGTGAAATCCAGCTAAATGTTTTGGTTGTTTGTCCACTTCTGGACTTTGGTCTCGTTCCATAATCTAAGTATTTGCATACACTTCTGCTTCACAGATCAGGCAGATGATGCACTCAGGCTTTGAAGGAAATACACTTAATTGCTGCCTTTTGCAACATGCTTGTTTATGGGCAGGGGATCTATTTCTTTTACCCCCAAAACAGGGTCATGAACCCACATGGGCAACAGCAGATACAGACTAGTTGAAATTCAGTATGATGGTAATATTTGTTCCACAGGTTTTGATGTTTCCTAGCCATCAAACTATAATCCATAGCTACGATGGAAAACTGATGCATACAATTATTCAAACTAAAGACAATTAAAAACTGCACAAGTGACATGTGCTGTTATAGGCTGATCCGGCCTCATAGAAATGGGTACCTGATAACCAAATAGCCTGGAAAGGAGAGGCCATGAGAAGGTCTAGCAGTAGCCGCTATATGACTTCTTACTTTTGTGTGCTGCCCCCACAAATGAAGGTTGGCCAAAGCAGCCTCTGTCACTATTTATGTTGTGAGGTCCCAATCTCTTCCACAGTGTCACTCACACCATCGTTCAAAAACTATCAGAACTAGTTTTTGTTTTTCTTCTCAAATAAACCATCTGCCACAGTAATTAAACCCTAGTACTCCAGAGCCATGATACTGTTTAACTCATTCACTGATCTCTGGATCACAGAGCCATGAAACTGTTAAACTCATTGTTAAACTCATTCACTAATCTCTGGACCTAAGAGTTATGAAACTGTTAAACTCATTCACTAATCCCTGGACCTAAGAGTTATGAAACTGTTAAACTCATTCACTAATCTCTGGACCTAAGAGTTATGAAACTGTTAAACTCATTCACTAATCTCTGGACCTAAGAGGTATGAAACTGTTAATCTCATTCACTAATCTCTGGACCTAAGAGTTATGAAACTGTTAAACTCATTCACTAATATTTGGACCACAGAGTCATAAAACTGTCAAACTCATTCACTAGTCTCTGGACCTAAGAGTTATGAAACTCTTAAACTCATTCACTAATCTCTGGACCTAAGAGTTATGAAACTGTTAAACTCATTCACTAATCTCTGGACCTAAGAGTTATGAAACTGTTAAACTCATTCACTAATCTCTGGACCTAAGAGTTATGAAACTCTTAAACTCATTCACTAATCTCTGGACCTAAGAGTTATGAAACTGTCTCTGGACCTAAGAGTTATGAAACTGTTAAACTCATTCACTAATCTCTGGACCTAAGAGTTATGAAACTGTTAAACTCATTCACTAATCTCTGGACCTAAGAGTTATGAAATTGTTTAACTCATTCACTAATCTCTGGACCTAAGAGTTATGAAACTGTTAAACTCATTCACTAATCTCTGGACCTAAGAGTTATGAAACTGTTTAACTCATTCACTAATCTCTGGACCTAAGAGTTATGAAACTGTTAAACTCATTCACTAATCTTTGGACCACAGAGTCATAAAACTGTCAAACTCATTCACTAGTCTCTGGACCTAAGAGTTATGAAACTCTTAAACTCATTCACTAATCTCTGGACCTAAGAGTTATGAAACTGTTAAACTCATTCACTAATCTCTGGACCTAAGAGTTATGAAACTCTTAAACTCATTCACTAATCTCTGGACCTAAGAGTTATGAAACTCTTAAACTCATTCACTAATCTCTGGACCTAAGAGTTATGAAAATGTCTCTGGACCTAAGAGTTATGAAACTCTTAAACTCATTCACTAATCTCTGGACCTAAGAGTTATGAAACTGTCTCTGGACCTAAGAGTTATGAAACTGTTAAACTCATTCACTAATCTCTGGACCTAAGAGTTATGAAACTGTTAAACTCATTCACTAATCTCTGGACTAAGAGTTATGAAACTGTTAAACTCATTCACCAATCTCTGGACCACAGAGTCATAAAACTGTCAAACTCATTCACTAGTCTCTGGACCTAAGAGTTATGAAACTCTTAAACTCATTCACTAGTCTCTGGACCTAAGAGTTATGAAACTCTTAAACTCATTCACCAATCTCTGGACCTAAGAGTTATGAAACTCTTAAACTCATTCACCAATCTCTGGACCTAAGAGTTATGAAACTGTTAAACTCATTCACTAATCTCTGGACCTAAGAGTTATGAAACTCTTAAACTCATTCACTAGTCTCTGGACCTAAGAGTTATGAAACAGTTAAACTCAATCACTAGTCTCTGGACCTAAGAGTTATGAAACTCTTAAACTCATTCACTAGTCTCTGGACCTAAGAGTTATGAAACTGTTAAACTCATTCACTAATCTCTGGACCACAGATCTGCACATTTTAAAGAACAATAACAATTTCAGTAAGTGACAAGTGCAGCTCCTAGGCTGACCCAGCCCCATCAAAATGGCTACTAGTTAACGTAAACTAGAACAGCTTGAGAAAGAAAATGGAGATGTGAAGGTCTAGATCTAACTGCTATGGGATGACCTTTACCAACAAGAAAAGTGAAATGACACCTACCTGGGCAACATGAGAATCACTGATATCTGTGGTGCTTGTGGCAACAGTGGCGCCTAGTATTCGTCTAGAGATTAGTTCGCTTCCATTGGAGTACAACAAGCGACCAGCATCTGACAGCTGCCTCCGACAAGCGCAGGGAGACACACTCAAGTCTCGACTAGCCCCGGAAGCAGCCCTTGCTCTCCTGGAAACTAAATTTGAACCGGAAATTTCCATGTCCTCTGAAGGATAGCCATTGACTTTCAATACAGAAGATGAATGCAGTGCTGTCTTCACAGGAACTGCCACAGTCAACTTGTCATCATGTGTGTTCACCTCTAAAGGCTTTGAGAATGAGGGGAGTGGAGGAGAAAGGATATCATTTCCTGCATCCAGGTCTCCATTTAGAGTATCAGTTGAGACAGAATTGATGGAAGATCTGGAACTATCCATGTCAACACGTTGTGGACAGTTCAACAACTTCTTTGGTAACATGATGTTATTGTAACAGTTGGGTTCCTCAATGCCAGCTTTCATAACCTGCTTACACATTCTACCTCCATCAGTGTAGTGGCCATTCAGATGACCAGATGTTTCGTGCAGCTTTCTGGAAACTTGAGCTTTCAGTGCAGCAGTGATGTGACACAATTCCTCAGAATTCATGGAATGTTCTCTATCATCTCCATTACGTTGACTGTGTACGGTGCCATTAGTCAGACAACAGGTCTCAGACTTGGCATTCTGCGTTAGCCCTATGTCGGCAGACAGTGCTGATCTTTCTGACATCAACAAAATTAGCTCTGAGTTGCAGGCAGAAGTGGCCGAGCCACAGAATGAATCGTATTTTAGAGAAGAGTTAGTCCTTGAGGCAAAGTTATCTACCAACTTGTCACAAATTTTACTCCAGCCTCCATTGCAACTTGCAATGCCAGTACAGGGGCTGTCATTGAAAGCGGAAAGTGGGGTCCTCTCTGAAAGCACTTGGGAATCATTACTAATCATATGACTATCACAACACACTGTTTGTTCACTAGAGGCCAGAGGCAGGCCATTCTCCTGGCAGAACACAGCCGAGGACAATGCATCCAAACTATGAGCACCAGAATCCTCTGATAAAAGAGAGGGACCTATTTTTTTAATACTTACTGGTTCACTGGAAAGTTCAGCATCACAGCTGTGTCCATTGACATACATCTTATCTGGATAAAGTTGGACAACATCTAGTGAAGGTGAAATGGTGGCACACTCGATCTGCAGCTTATCTAATGAGTCAGTACTACAACATGAATGTTGACTGCTGCTGCGCTCAATGCTGGAAGATGTGCTAGAAACTACCCTGGAACCATCCCCTACACACTCCTTAAGCTGAACCGTTGGACTCTGGGATTGTAACAAATGAGCAGGCTCCCCCTGATGTTGCTTGGGATGAAGAAGCAAGGAATCGTCATGCAGACTGTGTGTGCCTGCTGGAGACACAGATATCAGTTCCTGGCTCTGAGTAATGCTAGGGTCACTGTTGCGGCGTCCGCTGTCGACACTGATCTTGGACATGTCATCTGCTGACCTGCAGATGTCAAATACACAGAAATGTTTAAAACCACAGATGTAGGGGTGGTTAAATACACATAAATGTTTAAAAGCACAGGTGTAGGGGTGGTTAAATACACAGCAATGTTTAAAACCACGGATGTAGGGGTGGTTGAATACACAGAAATGTTGAATATCCACAGATGAAGAAGTGGTTAAATACACAGAAATGTTTAAAACCACAGATGTAGGGGTGGTTAAATACACAGAAATGTTTAAAACCACAGATGTAGGGGTGGTTAAATACACAGAAATGTTTTAAACCACAGATGTAGCAGAACTTGTCGTGAACCATTTGTTGGACTTCTGACTCTGCAGTGCCTGCTGGCCAGTTCTTGCACACACGGCCCAATGTGACTGACAGACCTATTTTTTCGTAGCATTTGTCTGTTAAGTTTTCAAAACAGGCTCAAGAACAAACATAAGACTAACAACTTGAGACACCAACTGTGCCAGATTTTGCAATGGTCTTTAGTGGTGTGACTTGTTTGGGATTGGGTACATTTTGTCCATTCAGTGTGAAACAGGAAGTGCCCTATTACCATTACTTGTGTCTATGCCTACCAACCTGATGGTCCTGAGTTCAAACTGTTATTTACTCTGCTTTGTCTAGTAAGTGCTTGTTGTGTTTACCTGAACTCAACACAGATAAGCATAATGGTCTACACTACAATTGTTGTAGTTTTTGTTTTTCTAAACTAACAAAACATCCTCATAGCGTAGAGAGCTGATTACTCATAAAAGAAGTTAGTAATCCAAATTTGGGGAAGCTAACAAAGGATAGGATAGAAGGAAAGTGGGAAACCTGGACGGGATGAGAGACAGAAGTAGGAGGGGAAGATAAGACATAAGGAGGAGGGGGAAATAGTAGGAGAGGACAGTATGAGGGAAGAGACAGAAGTAGGAGTGGAATAGGGACAGAAGTGGGAGGGGAAAAAAGACATAAGGAGGAGGGAAAAATAAGACATAAGGAGGCGGGTAGTAGATATTAAGAGTAGGAGGGGAAGATAGCGGTAGGAGAAGCAGAAGGCAGACAGAAGTAGGAGGGAAAGATAAGACAGAAGTAGAAGGGGAAGGCAGAAGTAGGAGGGAAAGACAAGACAGAAGTAGATCTAAAGGAGAATCTTTGCAGGGAGATATAGTATGGGAAAAACATCTTCATCAAATTAATGACAGCAGCTGGAACAAAGAACAATTAAAATGAAAATGTGTGGACTTACTTAGACCGAGGAAGTCCATCAGTTGATGGATTACTGGTATCTTCACCTCCACCCAAATGAGCCAATTCATGACCAAAGTCTGTCTGACTAAAGTGGAGCATTGGAGACAACCCGGCCATGTAGACAGACTTCCATAAGACGATTTCATGTTCGCTCACCTTGGCTGTCAGTACCTACAGATCACACACAGAGAAATATGGACAGCATGACTGCTAGTAAACTTTTAACAACACACAGCTTATTTATTAGAAGCTTTTTTCCCACATGAGTCACACACACCCAAAAAACTGTTCTGATCAAACTAACCAGAGATATATCATGTGGTGGCCAAATGTAAAAAAGCATTTATCCCATTTAATATGAAAAAGAAGCCACTGTGGCAATGCACTTTCACATACTTTTATTTGTAACTGAAGCTGACTTGTTCTGCTTTTTGTCTGGGGTGATATCTTTTCATGTCAGCCAAGTATTACTGAGGTCATGTCAGCCAAGTGTTACTGAGGTCATGTCAGCCAAGTGTTACTGAGGTCATGTCAGCCAAGTGTTACTGAGGTCATGTCAGCCAGGTGTTACTGAGGTCATGTCAGTCAAGTGTTACTGAGGTCATGTCAGCCAGGTGTTACTGAGGTCATGTCAGTCAAGTATTACTGAGGTCATGTCAGTCAAGTGTTACTGAGGTCATGTCAGCCAAATGTTACTGAGTTCATATCAGCCAAATGTTACTGAGGTCATGTCAGCCAAGTATTACTGAGGTCATGTCAGCCAGGTGTTACTGAGTTCATGTCTGCCAAGTGTTACTGAGGTCATGTCAGCCAAGTGTTACTGGGGGTGGGCAGGCGTGGGCGCACGTGTGTGTGTGTGTGTGTGTGTCTTTCTCTCTCTCTCTTTCTCTCTCTCTCAAGGGGGGTGGCAAGCGATTCTGAAAGTGAGCGCATGTCTACTTATATTTTAATCATAATTAAAATAGATTTCAAAAAACTTTTTATGGAACACAAAACGAGAAGGATTTTATTTTCATGAGTAGTCTTCCTCTTTTTTAATCACATTTTGTTATGTTCTCTCCCTCTCTCTCTCTGTGTGCGTACGTGTGCGCGCACAAGCATGCATGTGTTGGGGGAAGGGGGTGGGGGCCTGTGTGGGGGTCTTGCCATATACTCAAGAGGGTGAGGGGTCTTGCCATATACTCAAGAGGGTGAGGGGTCTTGCCATATACTCAAGAGGGTGAGGGGTCTTGCCATATACTCAAGAGGGTGAGGGGTCTTGCCATATACTCAAGGGGGTGAGGGGTCTTGCCATATACTCAAGGGCATGTGAGGGTCTTGCCATATACTCAAGGGCATGTGGGGATCTTGCCATATACTCAAAGGCATGTGGGGATCTTGCCATATACTCAAGGGGGTGAGGGGTCTTGCCATATACTCAAGGGGGTGAGGGGTCTTGCCATATACTCAAGGGCATGTGAGGGTCTTGCCATATACTCAAGGGCATGTGGGGATCTTGCCATATACTCAAAGGCATGTGGGGGTCTTGCCATATACTCAAGGGGGTGAGGGGTCTTGCCATATACTCAAGGGGCTGAGGGGTCTTGCCATATCCTCAAGGGGGTGAGGGGTCTTGCCATATACTCAAGGGGGTGAGGGGTCTTGCCATATACTCAAGGGGGTGAGGGGTCTTGTCATATACTCAAGGGGGTGAGGGGTCTTGTCATATACTCAAGGGGGTGAGGGGTCTTGCCATATACTCAAGAGGGTGAGGGGTCTTGCCATATACTCAAGTGGGTGAGGGGTCTTGCCATATAGTCAAGGGGGTGAGGGGTCTTGCCATATACTCAAGTGGGTGAGGGGTCTTGCCATATAGTCAAGGGGGTGAGGGGTCTTGCCATATACTCAAGAGGGTGAGGGGTCTTGCCATATACTCAAGGGGGTGAGGGGTCTTGCCATATACTCAAGGGCATGTGGGGGTCTTGCCATATACTCAAGGACGTGTGGGGGTCTTGCCATATACTCAAGGACGTGTGGGGGTCTTGCCATATACTCAAGAACGTGTGGGGGTCTTGCCATATACTCAAGGAGAGGCATGACCTGAAAAAAGGTTGGAGACCACTGGTCTAGAGTATACTATCCTCATAAACAGCAACAACATCATGAAGGCGACCCACATTCAGATTCTTCTGGCAAGAATGTAGTACCTCCTGCAAGCTGAAGAGAAGAAGATACAGTGTCTTGTGTATCCATTTGTAATTACCTTGTTGTCTGCTGGCCTGTAAAGCAGGTTGACAAACTGTGATCTCTCTGGTTTTAGCAGAGACCACACTGACGCTGTTTTCTGAGAACAGTTCTCCCTCTCTTTCTGGCAGTTGTATAGGAAATTGCCAAACAGGCAGCTCTGGGAGTTTTGAAGGAGTTTCACCTATGACAGAGACTCACATATAAGCAAGTGTCCAGATTTCAGGTGGTTAGATTATCAAACTGTACACATGTAAATAAATTATAGGAGGTTTGAAGAAATTTATCCTCAACATTCAGTACCATGCACACTTATTTAAAAAAAACGAAAACAAGTAAAATGATTTCATGCACTGTCTCTATCATTTACAGTGATGATGTTTTCTGGATGAGTATCCACTATTACCAATTTCAACATAGCAACTGCTCTCCCTGCTTGAACATCCCCCCTGTATGTGCATGGAGACATATATATGACAATGAATTAATCTATAAACTACTGTGTGTGTTTTCTATCCTTATTATATTTTATAAAACTGTTACTTTACTAAACACGGAATATTAAATAACTACCTACCAGGGGGAACAACTTGAATTATTAATGCTAGACAGATGAACCTCATAATGGGGGAACATTTTTGTAATAAAACTGGACAACATCATAATGGGGTAGTGTGTGTATGCACGAGTGTGTTTCAGGAATGAGGTGGAGATGGAGGGGTAAGGAAAGAATATTTATTTATTCATCATTATGCAACCTCAGGTAATTTGTAGAAAGTTTCTCTCATCATTGTACACTGGAGGCCACTCGGCCACCAGCCAGCTTACCCAGGGTATGTGGCCATCGACCACTCGGCCACTATTCAGCTCGCCCAGGGTATGTGGCCATCATCCACTCGGCCACCAGCCAGCTCGCCCAGGGTATGTGGCCATCATCCACTATCCAGCTCCCCCAGGGTTTGTGGCCATCATCCACTCGGCCACCAGCCAGCTCGCCCAGGGTATGTGGCCATCATCCACTAGGCCACCAACCAGCTCGCCCAGGGTATGTGGCCATCGACCATTCTGCCACTATCCAGCTCGCCTAGGGTATGTAGCCATCATCCACTCGGCCACTAGCCAGCTCGCCCAGGGTATGTGGCCATCATCCACTCGGCCACCAGCCAACTCGCCCAGGGTATGTGGCCATCATCCACTATCCAGCTCCCCCAGGGTTTGTGGCCATCATCCACTCGGCCACCAGCCAGCTCGCCCAGGGTATGTGGCCATCGTCCACCAGCCAGCTCGCCCAGGGTATGTGGCCATCGTCCACCAGCCAGCTCGCCCAGGGTATGTGGCCATCGTCCACCAGCCAGCTCGCCCAGGGTATGTGGCCATCGTCCACAAGCCAGCTAACCCAGGGTATGTGGCCATCGTCCACCAGCCAGCTAACCCAGGGTATGTGGCCGTCGTCCACCAGCCAGCTCAGTTACTCATGTTTATTTCTATGTAGCTGACCACTGTCTGGCACGGGTAGCATCCGCACCTATGTGAGGTGTGAAGGGAAAGTGGCAGATATTTCACAGCATGAACTTTCCAACAAACAAAATATTTCATTTATATGCTCACACTAAAAACCACAGAATTAATCTCATATTTAATCTGAGAAGATTATAAGTAATCTTTCCACAACATTAGCCTTTCATTGACTTATGAACTCTCAGAAACAAGAAACATTACTACATCAACATTAGAAAACAGGATTGCGGTGACTGGCAGGGCTGACCACATTTATCACGTTCACAAGACACTGACCAGATAAGCCTCGTTGAACTGAAACTCGGCTGGATACTGAAGGGTCAACTGGTGGACACAGTCCAGGAACTGCAGAAAGATTGGACTCATCTGACTAGTATCACTGCAGCTTGGATCATGGCCGCCCCGCTCACCAAACTTGTGACCAAAGTGTAGCCACTCTCTCTCCACTAGCACCTGAAAACCCTGCAGAACCAACAGAACACAGCTGAACCAGGTCATTAACAATAGGCAGGAGTCGTACCATAGGCAGGAGTCGTACCATAGGCAGGAGTCGTACCAGATCACAAATGATAGGCAGGAGTCGTACCAGATCACAAATGATAGGCAGGAGTCATAAGAGGTCACAAACGATAGGCAGGAGTCATACCAGGTCACAAACAATAGGCAGGAGTAATACCAGGTCACAAATGATAGGCAGGAGTCATATACCAGGTCACAAACGATAGGTAGGAGTCATAACAGGTCACAAATTATAGGCAGGAGTCATACCAGGTCACAAACAATAGGCAGGAGTAATACCAGGTCACAAACTATAGGCATGAGTAACATCAGGTCACAAAAGATAGGCAGGAGTAACATCAGGTCACAAACAATAGGCAGGAGTAACATCAGGTCACAAACAATAGGCAGGAGTAACATCAGGTCACAAACAATAGGCAGGAGTAACATCAGGTCACAAACAATAGGCAGGAGTAACATCAGGTCACAAACAATAGGCAGGAGTAACATCAGGTCACAAACAATAGGCAGGAGTAACATCAGGTCACAAACAATAGGCAGGAGTAACATCAGGTCACAAACAATAGGCAGGAGTAACATCAGGTCACAAAAGATAGGCAGGAGTAACATCAGGTCACAAAAGATAGGCAGGAGTAACATCAGGTCACAAACAATAGGCAGGAGTAACATCAGGTCACAAACAATAGGCAGGAGTAACATCAGGTCACAAACAATAGGCAGGAGTAATACCAGGTCACAAACTATAGGCATGAGTAACATCAGGTCACAAAAGATAGGCAGGAGTAACATCAGGTCACAAACAATAGGCAGGAGTAACATCAGGTCACAAACAATAGGCAGGAGTAACATCAGGTCACAAACAATAGGCAGGAGTAACATCAGGTCACAAAAGATAGGCAGGAGTAACATCAGGTCACAAAAGATAGGCAGGAGTAACATCAGGTCACAAACAATAGGCAGGAGTAACATCAGGTCACAAACAATAGGCAGGAGTAACATCAGGTCACAAACAATAGGCAGGAGCAATATCAGGTCACAAACAATAGGAAGGAGTAACATCAGGTCACAAAAGATAGGCAGGAGTAACATCAGGTCACAAAAGATAGGCAGGAGTAACATCAGGTCACAAACAATAGGCAGGAGTAACATTAGGTCACAAACAATAGGCAGGAGTAACATCAGGTCACAAACAATAGGCAGGAGTAATGCTACAGCACAGAAAGCCTTACGGGTTATTCTTGTTTGTTCGCCCTAAAAAGGGTGACTGACATGTGTTGTGGCTTACAGCTAGGCTGCAAGATCTGTGCCTTTCAGTCCAACACATCTGATTTAAGAAAACTCTTAATTAGTCATCTGTTATGACATGCTTGTTAGGTTGGTAGTGAGTCTAATCAGATCCTGCTATATCATGTTAGGCTGGTAGTGAGTCTAATCAGATCCTGCTATATCATGTTAGGTTGGCCGTGAGTCTAATCAGATCCTGCTTTATCATGTTAGGTTGGCCGTGAGTCTAATCAGATCCTGCTATATCATGTTAGGCTGGCAGTCAGTCTAATCAGATCCTGCTATATCATGTTAGGTTGGCCGTGAGTCTAATCAGATCCTGCTATATCATGTTAGGTTGGCCGTGAGTCTAATCAGATCCTGCTATATCATGTTAGGCTGGCAGTCAGTCTTATCAGATCCTGCTATATCATGTTAGGTTGGCAAGGAGTCTAATCAGATCCTGCTATTTCATGTTAGGCTGGCAGTCAGTCTAATCAGATCCTGCTATATCATGTTAGGTTGGCAGCCAGTCTAATCAGATCCTGCTATATCATGTTAGGCTGGTAGTGAGTGTAATCAGATCCTGCTATATCATGTTAGGTTGGTAGTGAGTCTAATCAGATCCTGCTATATCATGTTAGGCTGGCAGTGAGTCTAATCAGATCCTGCTATATCATGTTAGGTTGGTAGTGAGTCTAATCAGATCCTGTTATATCATGTTAGGCTGGCAGTGAGTCTAATCAGATCCTGCTATATCATGTTAGGTTGGCCGTGAGTCTAATCAGATCCTGTTATATCATGTTAGGTTGGCCGTGAGTCTAATCAGATCCTGCTATATCATGTTAGGTTGGCCGTGAGTCTAATCAGATCCTGCTATATCATGTTAGGTTGGCAGCCAATCTAATCAGATTCTGCTATATCATGTTAGGTTGGCAGTCAGTCTAATCAGATCCTGCTATATCATGTTAAGTTGGTAGTGAGTCTAATCAGATCCTGCTATATCATGTTAAGTTGGTAGTGAATCTAATCAGATCCTGCTATATCATGTTAGGTTGGCAGTCAGTCTAATCAGATCCTGCTATATCATGTTAAGTTGGTAGTGAATCTAATCAGATCCTGCTATATCATGTTAGGTTGGCAGCCAGTCTAATCAGATCCTGCTATATCATGTTAGGTTGGCAGCCAGTCTAATCAGATCCTGCTATATCATGTTAGGCTGGCAGTCAGTCTAATCAGATCCTGCTATATCATGTTAGGTTGGCAGCCAGTCTAATCAGATCCTGCTATATCATGTTAGGCTGGCAGTCAGTCTAATCAGATCCTGCTATATCATGTTAGGTTGGCAGTGAGTCTAATCAGATCCTGCTATATCATTTTAGGTTGGCAGTAAGTCTAATCAGATCCTGCTATATCATGTTAAGTTGGCAGTGAGTCTAATCAGATCCTGCTATACCATGTTAGGCTGGTAGTGAGTCTAATCAGATCCTGTTATATCATGTTAGGTTGGCAGTCAGTCTAATCAGATCCTGCTATATCATGTTAGGTTGGTAGTGAGTCTAATCAGATCCTGTTATATCATGTTAGGTTGGTAGTGAGTCTGATCAGATCCTGTTATATCATGTTAGGTTGGCAGTGAGTCTAATCAGATCCTGCTATATCATGTTAGGTTGGCAGTGAGTCTAATCAGATCCTGCTATATCATGTTAGGTTGGCAGCGAATCTAATCAGATCCTGCTATATCATGTTAGGTTGGCCGTGAGTCTAATCAGATCCTGCTATATCATGTTAGGTTGGCAGTGAGTCTAATCAGATCCTGCTATATCATGTTAGGTTGGCCGTGAGTCTAATCAGATCCTGCTTTATCATGTTAGGTTGGCCGTGAGTCTAATCAGATCCTGCTATATCATGTTAGGTTGGCCGTGAGTCTAATCAGATCCTGCTATATCATGTTAAGTTGGTAGTGAGTCTAATCAGATCCTGCTATATCATGTTAAGTTGGTAGTGAATCTAATCAGATCCTGCTATATCATGTTAGGTTGGCAGTCAGTCTAATCAGATCCTGCTATATCATGTTAAGTTGGTAGTGAATCTAATCAGATCCTGCTATATCATGTTAGGTTGGCAGCCAGTCTAATCAGATCCTGCTATATCATGTTAGGTTGGCAGCCAGTCTAATCAGATCCTGCTATATCATGTTAGGCTGGCAGTCAGTCTAATCAGATCCTGCTATATCATGTTAGGTTGGCAGCCAGTCTAATCAGATCCTGCTATATCATGTTAGGCTGGCAGTCAGTCTAATCAGATCCTGCTATATCATGTTAGGTTGGCAGTGAGTCTAATCAGATCCTGCTATATCATTTTAGGTTGGCAGTAAGTCTAATCAGATCCTGCTATATCATGTTAAGTTGGCAGTGAGTCTAATCAGATCCTGCTATACCATGTTAGGCTGGTAGTGAGTCTAATCAGATCCTGTTATATCATGTTAGGTTGGCAGTCAGTCTAATCAGATCCTGCTATATCATGTTAGGTTGGTAGTGAGTCTAATCAGATCCTGTTATATCATGTTAGGTTGGTAGTGAGTCTGATCAGATCCTGTTATATCATGTTAGGTTGGCAGTGAGTCTAATCAGATCCTGCTATATCATGTTAGGTTGGCAGTGAGTCTAATCAGATCCTGCTATATCATGTTAGGTTGGCAGCGAATCTAATCAGATCCTGCTATATCATGTTAGGTTGGCCGTGAGTCTAATCAGATCCTGCTATATCATGTTAGGTTGGCAGTGAGTCTAATCAGATCCTGCTATATCATGTTAGGTTGGCCGTGAGTCTAATCAGATCCTGCTTTATCATGTTAGGTTGGCCGTGAGTCTAATCAGATCCTGCTATATCATGTTAGGTTGGCCGTGAGTCTAATCAGATCCTGCTATATCATGTTAGGTTGGCCGTGAGTCTAATCAGATCTTGCTATATCATGTTAGGTTGGCAGTGAGTCTAATCAGATCCTGCTATTTCATGTTAGGCTGATATAATGTAATTGGGAATTATGGTAATTAGAGGAATTAAACAGGATTTTTTTCTCACAAGGTAGTTTTTGAAAACCTGCGAATGAAGACTCCATGCTGACACACTGCTCACCTCTAATGTTCTGTAGTAAGGGTCCATCATCAGTTCTGAAAGAGAAACTATCTGAGATGTCCTGTCCCACCCATCGGAACAGTGCACCAGAACCGGTCTCTTCATCACATGCATTAGTTCCACTACTATGTTTGCGCCTCGCAACAGTGCAGATATATATGTCAGCCACATACAGCCGGTGAGGTTCTTATAGAATCTGAAAAATAATGAGCTGGTTGTTACAAAATTGTCATATGTTCAAACAATATTTGTCCACTGTCTTTATATAATAAACACACACACACACACACAAAAAGACCTTATACCTGGGCTTTATTATATATATATATATATTGGGTAATGTTACTGTTATTAATTGTCAGGCTTGGAACATTAGCTTTTACAATTCTATTGTCCAAAGAGCACCATAAAACAACCGCCTTTTCTGAACTGATGACAACACCTATTTCTGCACACCAGTCAGTCACTTTTTCTACAGTTGCCATTAGCTCGTGGACTATTCCTTCCCCATCACTTCCCTGCCTATTTGCAAGAACATCATCTGCAAATGTTAATATTCTTCCAACACCTGGTGATTCAAGTTCTGCACTGTTGCCTGCATACACATTAAAGAGCACTTGTGAAATTGCAGCTCTAGGGTATAGTCCCTTGGCAATATTACATGGTTCTGAGGTCCATGTACCCAGGCAAAGGGCAACCATATACGTAAATGCAGGACAGCTGTAATCCAGTTCACTAGCCATGGACAAACCCCCTTCTCTATGAGTGAAGATATCAAAATATCATATCTGACACTACTGTAGGCATCCTCAAGATCAAGTGCTGCCATAATCATCTCCTGTCTATTCTGGAACCTCTCATAAACATCAAAAACAAAATTAGCTGCATTTGACCAGGTATCCTTTCAGGCCAGTAACTATCCAAGCCTTTTAACAACAGTTCTTCCCTTTCCAAAACCAACGGTAGTTTAACAGCAATAATATTCTCTAACTCCCGTGCGAAAAGTATTTTGTAAAGTGATAATGCTGAAACCGCTGAGTCTGCAATGATCTTTGTCTGGTTTTGGAAGTGGGACTAGGTAGTGGTGTACCCAATCCTAGGGTGCTGAAGCTGTTCTGATGCTCTGGTTGAATAAAAAAAATAAAACTATCTCCCTCAAGTCTTTACCACTCATGATCTTCATGTGGGCATGACTGACTCTATCTGGCCCTGGCGTAGCGTCTTTTGCTTTTTGCAATATATATTGTATATCCTCTACCTTAATGATATCCTGAAAATAATTATCATTTTGGTATTACACAGATTATTAACACTAACAGTCAGAGATAGTTAATGTTTTTCCCATCCTATCTATGAATAGTATTTCTGCTCAGTCAAGCAATCAATCAATCAATCAATCAATCAAATCAATCATGGGCCATCTCCACAATGAAGGCTGACTGCAATAATCTTTAATGCACTGTGTCACTTGTCTTGGTAGTACTCTCTATCATACTGCTATTTGTTCATCCTCCCACTTGTATCAATGTCTTCTTCTTGCCTTCGACTACTCTCTCCAGTATGGTTTTCAAAGAGCGTCAAGTCTTTAAATGTGGCCGAAATTTTGTCAACTGTCTTTTTTTATTTCTTTCAGTAACTCCTTTTATTTTAAGTCTCTGCCGAAGCTGTGTATTTGATTGTTTTTGTTTCCATGAAATGCATGTATCAGATTACATTAATGTTTCACTATACTCCATAAAGCTGTCTCAAATCTAGAGAGATAGACTGTCACTGCTGTTTTTACTTAGTAGAACAATCCAGATATCCAAATGACTGTTCTCTACCCAGTCAATGCCTGTATTTCATCACCAAGCCAATGTCGATATTTCCACCACAACATTTTATCATTACCTAGTCAATGCCGATGTTTCCACCACCACATGTTATTCATCACCCAGTCAATGCCGGTGTCTCCAACACAAAATTTATTTTCATCACCCAGTCAATGCCGGTGTCTCCAACACAAAATTTATTTTCATCACCCAGTCAATGCCGGTGTCTCCAACACAAAATTTATTTTCATCACCCAGTCAATGCCGGTGTTTCCAACAAAACATTTTTTTTTCATCACTCAGTCTATGCCGGTGTTTCCAACACATGTTTTTCATCACCCAGTCAATGCCGGTGTTTCCAACACATCATGTTTTTCATCACCCAGTCAATGCCGGTGTTTCCAACACATCATGTTATTCATCACCCAGGCAATGTCAGTGTTTCCAACAGATCATGTTATTCATCGCCCAGCCAATGCTGGTGTTTCCAACACATCATGTTATTCATCGCCCAGCCAATGCTGGTGTTTCCAACACATCATGTTATTTATCACCCAGCCAATGCTGGTGTTTCCAACACATCATGTTATTCATCGCCCAGTCAATGCTGGTGTTTCCAACAACATTTTTTTCATCACACAGTCAAGGGTTACTGAAAAAAATCATGCTTTGGCTTTTTGTGTGGGTTAGGTCACAGTTTAGGGACACATGGTGCTTAACTGCCAGTCTTGTATATGTTCACTTACGTTCCTTCCACATAAGCATGACATAAGGCCCGGAGCTTGTTAAAACTGTCCCTGACTGTATGGATGTTGGCCAGGTCCAGGTGCACAATGTTGCACTTGTAGACAACTGCAGAGATGATCGTACATCATTATACATCATTTGTAACATACAAGAGAGGTCTCAAAAAAGTACAAAGGTGAGAAGTAATACATTTGCAGAGATATAAAGCATTATTATTCTGAAAAGTTGAATATTCAATGTACATATAAAGAAGAAATCAAATGGTTAAAGATCAGAAATATTCAAGACGCACAGATGAAGTATAAAGATATGTAAAGAGATGAGAAATGAAACAAATTTGTAGAGATAAGCAGTAAAAACTGCGATAACAATTTTTTTTTTCTTCTATCTGGCTCGTGTCATCGCACAATTCCTATCTCACACACCGACATCACACGACGAGCAGAAAAATGGACGACTGGAAAACAACACGAGACTGTTTCTGCACTTTATTCTTCCACTCGCGGCTTCCTCAGCCGGCACATGAAATAGACTACTGTCCAGGCATACATTATAACTCAAATATCAAACGTATCGTTACCTTTAAGCCGAAATCACAATCGTCCTACCACAAGCATAATGAACGAAAAATACAACAGCTGTCCTGACGGAAAACTAACACTGCCGGCAGACATGTTGCCTGCTAGCTTGTTTTGCCAAGTTGGACATTGGAATAACACTCACTCTCAAGCACTGGATCCACACATCTTCCACCGTTGTCCATGCACTCCGTTCCTGAGCCCAAGCGAGACTAACTCCCAGCCCTTTATATAGCCTTCTAATTCCCCTCTTTGTATTCTCGAATTCTCCGTGTTCCCTGATTTACCCGAATTCTATTTGGCCGGCAGTTTGTGTGACCCCCGTGACTAATCATACTTCATATGAAGTTTGACTGTCAGCGTTTCTCTACACGTAAATAATTATAATTCACGCGAAGATTGACTATCAGCATTTCTCCACAGTTCCCGTGAAGTTAGACTATCAGTAATTCCCGTGTTGTCCCGGTTAGACTCAAAATATTCCACTCACATTTATTACTGACGTCATTCTGTCTAGGCATAAATTATCTAGGAGAAAATGAGATTCACTACAAAAACAAATACAAAGAGTTGAGAGAAGGATAAATGTATGTACAAAGATGAGAGAAGAATAAATATATGTACAGAGATGAGAAAAGAATTAATGTATGTACAGAGATGAGAGAAGAATAAATGTATGTACAAAGATGAGAGAAGAATAAATGTATGTACAGAGATGAGAGAAGAATAAATGTATGTACAGAGATGAGAGAAAAATATAAGTGTGCGTACAGAGATGTGAGAAGAATAAATGTATGTACAGAGATAAGAGAAGGATAAATCTATGTACAGTGATTAGAAAAGGATAACTGCTTGTACAGAGTTGAGAGAAGAATAAAGGTATGTACAGAGATCAGAAGTATAAACGTACGTAGAGAGATCAGAAGTAAACACATATGTGCAGAGATTAGAAGTATAAACATATGCACAGATAAAATTATAAACATATGTACAGAGATTAGAAGAATTAACATAGAGATAGGAAGCATAACCTTATGTAGAGAGATAAGAAATACAAACATGTACAGAGGTAAGAAGTACAAACATATGTATAGAAATGAGAAGTATAAACATATGAACAAAGATGAGAAGTAAAAATGTGTACAGAGATAAGAAGTAAAGTAACGTAAAGGACCTTTTACCAAGCCTTCAGGCATATAGGGCTAGATCTATATTTTACAGACCAATCAGCACTCGGTGGTTGATGCAGTCAGCATCATGCAGACTGCCTTTACATTCAAGGACTGTACATGATACCTACTCAGGGCTGCGACGACCTGAGCCAAGGTTATTGTTGAACCCACAACTTTCTGATCCGCAGGTGAGCACGTACAGAGTTAAGAACTATAATCATACATGAGAAATACAATTCTGTCCCCATTTACCTTCATCTTCAGTTCCTCCACCTTTAAAACTATTGCCCCACACGCCAGCCAGACTCCGACAGTCTACTATGGCCAGTTTTTTAGGTTTGAATCCATCATCTGCAAAGAATAAGGAAATCTGCTGAATGCTTGCCTTCACATAGGCTGGTAGCAGACAGTCACTAATACCTGCCTGAGACAAACACCTGGCTACAGTCTCTCTCCAAATTACATCGACCGATTGATTCAATCGAATCCTAAAAATAGCAAGTGACTAAGTTTATTAGATTTGCCTAAACCCAGAATTGATTTATTAAAAACAAGTTTAGCATATTCTGCTGCCCATTTATGGAACCATCTTCCACTCAATCTGAAAACTACATAGAGTCCCTACTCATTTAACTGCAAACTCTTTCATTTCATGATTACCAGTGATTATATACCACCTTAAATGTAGTTAATAATCCACAATGCATTACTAGTTTCACAATTTGCATATTATTACATGAACATAACATGCTTTCTTAATGAAATAAAACTGCTGTGTGAAAGATAGGAGTTTGGAAGGGCCGAATGTAAGACAGGCCTGCATGCCTAATTTGTAACTCTTTAAAAATAAAGTTCGTTCGTACGTTCTCTTCACAACCAATATTACAGTTTTAACTAAATACTAAAAACTGTATTTATTTTATACTGCCACATCAAATGTGCATTATCTTTCCACTGAGAGCTGAAGCTTCAATCTGCTAACAGAAAAGGATGCCCAAAAGTACAAAGTGGAAGGCCTGAAACGGTCAACTAGAATGACTGCTAAAAGTGGTGTCTGAAAGGTTCTATACAAACACTGTTAGGACTTTGGTCAACAAAACGGCATCTAGTAAGACTTGGAAAATTATTATTTTCTTTCTGTTTTCCTACTGTTAACTGTACCAGGGTGAGCAGGGAGAGAAGAAGCAATATAAATTCAAGTTAAATGTTTAAAAAGTGATGTTCTAAAGTCAGCTCAGCTGTTCTCCACAAATTATCAAAACATGTTAAAATGATGAGAAAAATGCTGAAATGATCTCCGTTGTCTGCATTTTCTATGTGCAAAAAAGCAAATTTAAAAGAAAGATAAGCAAATTTAAAGAAAGATGTCTAAAGATGAGAGGACTGACTTTACTGCATCAAGGGTGCTTTACTTTAAATTCACCGCAAACAAAGGGTTTGGGGTGAATTAAAAATAAAGTACCCTACAATGTTTTATCCCATAAGATGTAATTGCAAAGTGGCTGTCGCTTGCCATAAACCTCACACCAAACTCAAAAACTGTAGATCCAGCAATGAACTCCAGGGATCTAAACACTTTCCTTTGTAAAACAAAGAAAGAAAAAACATACCATAGTAGCAGTTGCCATTGCTCGCCCCGTGGTCATTGGCTCCAGCTGGGTCATCACTCACTAGGGATCCCTGGGCCCCATCTCCTTTGTGAGCACTGAACTCTTGACCTTTCTCTTGCCCATGGCTGTCGTTGACCCTGGTATCCGGCAACGCACGCACAGATTTGCTGTGCTCTTCTATCAGCTTCCAGTCTCTGAGGAAAACATATTCTTGCATGACATAAGCTTGACCTACTGTTTCACTTACTTTACGTACATTCATTTCAACTTGACCTACTGTTTCATTTACTTTACGTACATTCATTTCAACTTGACCTACTGTTTCATTTACTTTATGTACATTCATTTCAACTTGACCTACTGTTTCATTTACTTTATGTACATTCATGTCAACTTGACCTACTGTTTCATTTACTTTATGTACATTCATTTCAACTTGACCTACTGTTTCATTTACTTTATGTACATTCATGTCAACTTGACCTACTGTTTCATTTACTTTATGTACATTCATTTCAACTTGACCTACTGTTTCATTTACTTTATGTACATTCATTTCAACTTGACCTACTGTTTTATTTACTTTATGTACATTCATTTCAACTTGACCTACTGTTTCATTTACTTTATGTACATTCATTTCAACTTGACCTACTGTTTCATTTACTTTATGTACATTCATTTCAAACAACTGACTTTTTATTTTTTCAGGCAGTCAAAGACAGTTCTACCAGTTTCAAACATGGACCTTTACTAAAACTAAAAAGTGACGAAAAAATAAAGATGAAATGTCTTAGGAGAGCTGGATGGAGTAAAAAGAGATTAATTAAAACTGAAGAAGAAAAAAAAAGGCGGGGAACAAAACCAGTTGTAGAATTCATTAAAGAGAAAACAATGCAAAGGTTTTGATATCTGCCGTTGTAAACATAAATGAGAGAAAATAATGAAGTATGAGCACAGATCAAGCAGAAGACAACACAAAAGATGAAATGATGGCATAAACAGAAATGAAGATCGACTTAAACAGCATTTAGAAAGATCACTTCTCTTCCAGTTTAGAAAACAGCCTTTCTGTAGCTTTCAGATAGTGGTACAAGAGTTGCACTGTGGAAGAGGCTGGGTGAGTCACCACATAATATTCCTGGAGACAGCATTAGAAGTAGATAGTCATAGCAGCAAATCTCCATGGTGACAACAATTGAAGTACAAGCACACTTGTGTACTCACTTGTTACATTCATTGACAACAGCACAACAGTTGAAGAACAAGCACACTTGTGTACTCACTTGTTACATTCATTGACAACAGCACAACAGTTGAAGTACAACCACACTTGTGTACTCACTTGTTACATTCATTGACAACAGCACAACAGTTGAGGAACAAGCACACTTGTGTACTCACTTGTTACATTCATTGACAACAGCACAACAGTTGAAGTACAACCACACTTGTGTACTCACTTGTTACAGGCACTGACAACAGCACAACAGTTGAAGTACAACCACACTTGTGTACTCACTTGTTACATTCATTGACAACAGCACAACAGTTGAAGTACAACCACACTTGTGTACTCACTTGTTACATTCATTGACAACAGCACAACAGTTGAAGTACAACCACACTTGTGTACTCACTTGTTACATTCATTGACAACAGCACAACAGTTGAAGAACAAGCACACTTGTGTACTCACTTGTTACATTCATTGACAACAGCACAACAGTTGAAGTACAACCACACTTGTGTACTCACTTGTTACATTCATTGAAAACAGCACAACAGTTGAAGTACAACCACACTTGTGTACTCACTTGTTACATTCATTGACAACAGCACAACAGTTGAAGTACAACCACACTTGTGTACTCACTTGTTACATTCATTGACAACAGCACAACAGTTGAAGTACAACCACACTTGTGTACTCACTTGTTACATTCATTGACAACAGCACAACAGTTGAAGTACAACCACACTTGTGTACTCACTTGTTACATTCATTGACAACAGCACAACAGTTGAAGAACATGCACACTTGTGTACTCACTTGTTACATTCATTGACAACAGCACAATAGTTGAAGTACAACCACACTTGTGTACTCACTTGTTACATTCATTGACAACAGCACAACAGTTGAAGAACAAGCACACTTGTGTACTCACTTGTTACAGGCACTGACAACAGCACAACAGTTGAAGTACAACCACACTTGTGTACTCACTTGTTACAGGCACTGACAACAGCACAACAGTTGAAGTACAACCACACTTGTGTACTCACTTGTTACATTCATTGACAACAGCACAACAGTTGAAGTACAACCACACTTGTGTACTCACTTGTTACAGGCACTGACAACAGCACAACAGTTGAAGAACAAGCACATTTGTGTACTCACTTGTTACATTCATTGACAACAGCACAACAGTTGAAGAACAAGCACACATGTGTACTCACTTGTTACATTCATTGACAACAGCACAACAGTTGAAGTACAACCACACTTGTGTACTCACTTGTTACAGGCACTGACAACAGCACAACAGTTGAAGTACAAGCACACTTGTGTACTCACTTGTTACAGGCATTGACAATTTCTTCAATGAGGAAAACATCCGACTGGTTGGTAAAATAGCTCACTCCCAAGAAACTGGACAGAGGCTGGCTGCTGCGTATTAACACCATTCCCGTTCTTCTGTCTCTGGAAACCAAAAATGAAACAACCACTTAAACACTGTTATTCTTCTTTTGCATTTATCCAAGGATATAACTGCATTATGTCTGTTTACAAAGTGACTGCAGTATTTGCAGTTTCGGCCAAAACATTCAACCCCTTTAGGTATTTGCTGCCCAGATTAGCCTTTCCCGAAATACTCCAGCCAGGCATAACACAATTTGTTGCCCAGGTTAGCCTTTACCGAAATACTCAATCTCCAGGCAAAACACAATCTGAACAGATACATGGAAATGGCAAGACTTCTAATCAACTTCTACTCAGGCACCACAAATTTCCAAATTTCTCAGCAGAATATAAAATCATGGAACAATTTTATATTATCCAAAACAAACACTCTAAAGCTAGTAGATTGACTGTCTGTTCTCTAGTCATTGATATACACCAATTCTCAATGTGGGTTCCAGGGCCCAATTGTGGGGAAAACCAGAAAAAAGGCTAACTGCCTCCCCAACAAGCATGTTGTAGGAGCCAACTAATTGGGGGCATGATTCAAAGTTGGAGTACATCCTCTGCCTGAGAGGTAAGGATACAAGCAGCTTCACACAAATAAGCCAGTAAAACAAATGCACATGCAAAACTCAGGCCCTGGCACAAAGCCAAACCAAATGAACAAACAAGCAGGACTTTCACCACCAGAGTTTACAGTTGGTGAACAAAGAAGAAGATATACACAAGTGCAAAAAGATCTGCCCTTCACGGTCACCATCTATTAATAACAACAGCCACCAGATAATGTATCTTAGAAACATGTGTGGGCATAGTAGTGACTAACCAAATAACATTTATTAAAATTCAATCAAATGGACATGGAATTCACTAGACAAACTATTTCACAGGAAAGCAAATCAGAAATACAATCAAACTGGTACCATTGGAAATGGAATTCTGTACTGGCTGCTGAAGATGGAGATAGAACGTTTAAGGGAATGTACCAACTGCTGTCAAATCAGTTGACTAACTCAACTTGACAAGACAAACTATAAATGTTTAACAACATTAAGTCATAAGGCTGCAGAATTCACTGAGCACCGACTTTACCTCCAAACAACAGATGGAAACCGTTTCATAGCTCTGAAGTCCAGGCTGACCTTCAACTTATCATCATCAACAGTTGCTGGAAGAATATGTAGCTTGGGATATGTTGGACAAAACCTGAAGATCAGATCCCATATGCAAAGTTGTATTTTGTGACAAAATCTCAACAATGTTAATGTACAGGCAAAAAACTATGGTGTGCTGTGTCACACTAAAACAAAGACAATTTCAGCGGACAGCAGTGACAATGTGTTCCTGTTCTGACAAACAGAAATGTTATTGAAATAAGCTCAGTTTTATCTCTCAACAGGAGCTGAGAGGCAAAGCAGTTAATGCCTGTTCTGGGTTTAGCAGCTTAAGTTCAGTAGTCTGGGTTTAGTGGTCCAGGTTTCCTGGTTTATTTTCAGTGGTCCATGGGTCTGGGTTTAGCAGTTCAGGATCAGTGGTCCAGTGGCCTGGGTTTAGCAGTTCAGGTTCAGGGGTCTGGGTTTAGCGGTTCAGGTGTCTTGGTTTAGCGGTTCAGATTCAGTGATCCAGGATTCATAGGTTTTTTTATCAGTGGTTCGGGTTTAGCAGTTGTGGTCTAGTGGCCTGGGTTTAGCAGTTCAGGTTCAGTGGTCTGGGTTTAGCAGTTCAGGTTCAGTGGTCTGGGTTTAGCAGTTCAGGTTCAGTGGTCTGGGTTTAGCAGTTCAGGTTCAGTGGTCTGGGTTTAGCAGTTCAGGTTCAGTGGCCTGGGTTTAGCAGTTCAGGTTCAGGGGTCTGGGTTTAGCAGTTCAGGTTCAGTGGTCTGGGTTTAGCAGTTCAGGTTCAGTGGCCTGGGTTTAGCGGTTCAGGTTTAGTGGTCCAGTAGCCTGGATTTAGCAGTTCAGGAATTTTTTTGAGAACACACAACTACCTAGAATATATAAAATAACAGAGTGAAAACAGACCACAGTATCTTAGTGTGTTACAAATATAAAATTAAAGGATCATTTATTTAATTTTTACACACATAATTAGCTACAGCACACAAAGGATGTTTCCATGAAAACACACCCAAACAAAAATAGTTACAACATATAATTAATTCTTAGTGTGATAATAGATCATAACAGCATCTTTTACTAATATAAACTGACAACATATGCATAATTATGTGCAAGAAAGCAAGGGATACTTTTCCAGGAAAACTTTAAACTAACTACCACACACTTACTCAAAATTTTCATTCGCATGACTCATTCGCCATATTTTTTCTTTGTTTGTGTCAAATCCTAAACGCACGACCTCCTTGTCAAAGCTGTATGCGAATTTTAGATCCACTAAGGAAAGAAATTATTACAAAAGATAATTTAATTTAATTCAGTGGGGGAAAATAAAATAACAAGCCAAACAAATGTACTCTTCTAAGAAAATCAACCCTGTATACTACAAATATAAAGTTACAGGATCATTTATTTAAAAGACAAAAGGACAGGACACTTGAGATGTAGACAGACAGTTAAAACAACCAAAGTGAATTAGAGACAATGAGCTTGAGCTAGTTTCCTGATCTAAGTTACTCTGGAGTCAATTCAGCTTCACAGAGTGAGTGAGTGAGTGAGAGTGAGTGAGTGAGTGAGAGTGAGTGAGTGGAGGGGAGAGGGGGAGAGAGAGAGAGAGAGGGGAGAGAGAGAGAGGGGGGAGAGAGAGAGAGAGAGAGAGAGAGAGAGAGAGAGAGAGAGAGAGAGAGAGAGAGAGAGAGAGAGAGAGAGAGAGAGAGAGAGAGAGAGAGAGAGATTAAAAAGGATTTCTTATCTTTGAAAGCTCTACCAAGATACATATCGTCAACTTGTTTACAAATACGAACATATCACTGTAATAAAAGTCCATATGACCTATATACTAACAAAGGGCATTAGGAGACGGACTTACCAGGTTCACAGAGCTGAATATGCTCTTCCTCCAGCTTGGTCAAGCCAGATTTCAGCTCTTTTCTGCGCATGGCTACCTCATAGAATCTGTACGCAAACAGGGTCTTTTTGTTCGCAGGCAGTCCTGTCTTCTCCTTCAGTAAGTTGGTACAAGCAGTTAGGTCTTCATTGGTAGCAAAAGTGCAACTGTGAAAGCCAAGGAAAAGCAACATGTGAATTCTTTCTAGGTTGAACCAGTCCATCAGCAGACATGCAATTACTTGTAAGAAAGTCAGAGTTGTGCAGACATAGAAGATTAAGCTTATTTCATGGAAGCAAATATAATCTTCTTCTTCTTCTTCTTTCTTTTGCTTGAAATAGATTATCTATATCTGCAATGCTGTCTCTAGTCACTGTCAAATAAAATCAAATGAAGAGAAGAGAATGAAAACAGCTGTTCAAGAAATAAAACTAAGGCACGTTAAACATAATACTTATAAAAAGCATATTGGAGGGGAATGTAGAAAGCAGGCAAGGACTGGGCATACAATGATACAGTGGACAGTTTAACATCAAGAGATGGATTAAAGGTTTGACAGGGAGGGCATAACAATGGTGACAGAGAGATCCCATACAGAACCCAGCATAGTAAACATGATCCCTGTGGTGCTATCTCCATCCCATACAGAACCCAGAACAGTGAACATGATCCCTGTGGTGCTATCTCCATCCCATACAGAATCCAGAACAGTGAACATGATCCATGTGGTGATATCTCCATCCCATACAGAACCCAGAACAGTGAACATGATCCCTGTGGTGCTACTCCCATCCCATACAGAACCCAGAACAGTGAACATGATCCCTGTGCCCCTATGGTGCTTTCTACATCCCATATAGAACCCAGTATAGTCATCATTATCCCAGGGTGGCTGCGGTGCTATGTACATCATAAAAATTCAGTCCAATGAGGCAGTTGTCCGAGATGTCCTTCTACAGACGAACCCAAAGGTGGACTGGATCTCAGTCTGACAGCACTGCAAGTCCTTTTACAGACAAACCCAAAGGTGGACTGGATCTCAGTCTGACAGCACTGCGAGTCATTTAACAGACAAACCCAACAGGTGGACTGGATCTCAGTCTGACAGCACTGCAAGTCCTTTAACAGACAAACCACACAGGTGGACTGGATCTCAGTCTGACAGCACTGCAAGTCCTTTAACAGACAAACCCAAAGGTGGACCGGATCTCAGTCTGACAGCACTGCAAGTCCTTTATCAGACAAACCCAAAGGTTAACTGGTTCTCAGTCTGACAGCACTGTAAGTCCTTTATCAGACAAACCCAACAGGTGGACTGGATCTCAGTCTGACAGCACTGCAAGTCCTTTTACAGACAAACCCAAAGGTTAACTGGTTCTCAGTCTGACAGCACTGCAAGTCCTTTAACAGACAAACCCAAAGGTTAACTGGTTATCAGTCTGACAGCATTGCAAGTCCTTTAACAGACAAACCTAACAGGTGAACTGGATCTCAGTCTGACAGCACTGCAAGTCCTTTAACAGACAAACCCAAAGGTTAACTGGATCTCAGTCTGACAGCACTGCAAGTCCTTTTACAGACAAACCCAAAGGTTAACTGGTTCTCAGTCTGACAGCACTGCAAGTTTTTTAACAGACAAACCCAAAGGTTAACTGGTTATCAGTCTCACAGCACTGCAAGTCCTTTAACAGAAAAACCCAAAGGTTAACTGGTTATCAGTGTGACAGCACTGCAAGTCCTTTATCAGAAAAACCCAACAGGTGGACTGGATCTTAGTCTGACAGCACTGCAAGTCTTTTGTCTGACAGCACAGTAAGTCCTTTTACAGACAAACCCAACAGGTGGACTGGATCTCAGTCTGACAGCACTGCGAGTCATTTAACAGACAAACCCAACAGGTGGACTGGATCTCAGTCTGACAGCACTGCGAGTCATTTAACAGACAAACCCAACAGGTGGACTGGATCTCAGTCTGACAGCACTGCAAGTACTTTTACAGACAAACCACACAGGTGGACCGGATCTCAGTCTGACAGCACTGCAAGTCATTTAACAGACAAACCCAACAGGTGGACTGGATCTCAGTCTGACAGCACTGCAAGTCCTTTTACATACAAACCACACAGGTGGACCGGATCTCAGTCTGACAGCACTGCAAGTCATTTAACAGACAAACCCAACAGGTGGACTGGATCTCAGTCTGACAGCAATGCAAGTCTCCTGTAGGTTCTAATATTCAGAGGTTAAGAATGTGGCAGCACTACTGTTAATGCAGGTCCATATCATAAACATCATGTCTGACTGATGCTCCTCTGTGTTCTGTTTGTCTGAGTATACAACCCTGGACTTGTGGCTCACAAATCGGGCATACCATTAGACCATGGAGACAGGTCCAGGACAGCAACGCATCCATTGCTACCTGGAGTCCCCATGTGGGTTCTGGGGCCCCATCATGGAATAAGGATAGACCCACTGCCTCCCCAACAAATATGTTTTAAGAGTAAACTAATTTGGGGCTTCCTTTGAAGTCACGAGTGCATCTGCCTGAGAGGCAAAGAACCAATATTCTACATACAAATAAGCCAGACCTGTAAAACAGATGTGCATGCAACAAGACTCAGGTTCTGGAACAAGACTAAAGTCCAGAGGTGGGTGAACAACCAGAACTTTCCACCAGAGTGTACAGCCAGTGTTCATGAAGAAGGAGGCTAGCTGGAGAAACATGAGGTGCAAGTCCACTTGGGGATGAGTTTAATGTTCTAAACATACATGGCACTGATCACACGCATTCACAACCAAAATGTACAGCTATTGGTTTACGAGATACAGAGAGAATATTAACAACACATTGCCTGGCATGTTTTCGAAGTTAACTAATTGTCACGATCACCAAACAGCATCTAATCTGAAATGTATACAGTTGAATAAATGGAGGCAGACTCCACAAATCTGGCATAACCGTACACAAGGAAACAAGAAAAACACAAACTGACAGCCAAAGGCTATAAAGAAAACTACAAGCAAGAACTGATAATAAAAGTTCTGAATGGAGAATTTCAGTGTTTAGGGTACACATAAAATGTGTGAAGATAAAAGAAAGACAAAAACTGCAAACAAAGAGTTAAACATGAGTCGATCACAAGGCATACCAAGAAGACAGCAGAGAGATAATATACATGCATACCTATAAACACTTGAAGTCACCAACATGAAAGAGAACGTCAATCACAGAGATAAATGAAGGGTGGGTGATATCTGCAGCGATCTTCTTCTTCGTGTTTACCAGCTGTTAACTCTGGCGGAAAGTTCTGGTTGTTCATCCATTTTTGGACTGCAGTCCTGTTCCAGAATTGAGTGTTGCGTGTGCATCCCTTTTACAGATCTGACTCATTTGTATGCAGACTGGTGGTTCCTTGCCTCTCAGGGAGAGGCACTCCGACTTCGAAGGAAGCTCCCAGTTAGTCGACTCTTACCATATGCTTCTGGGTAGGCAGTGGCTTTATTCTTGTTTTCCCTATAATAGAGCCCCGGAACCCACAGTGGGAATCTGCAGCAATGAACAGCAAGGGCTCAGAATGCTAATGGCAAAAAAGATACTTGCAACCTAGACCACTTGGCTCAGGTCCGACTTGTATTCTCAAGTGCTGCACATTTAAACCAGCTAAAACATTACACACACTTACTGGACATAACCCTTTGGAACAAAAAAGGACTCAATGGTTCGTAGAAGCTTTCACGACTGATCTCATGTGACATCATCAAATTATTCTGTTTTGCCTATGACAAGTCTCTAATCAACAGAGAGTTAATAATAACTTTTTTTTTAAACCTCCCAACAACATTTAATGGGAGCATTGGTGGCATAGTTTTCAGGGTACCCACCTGCCAAGACAGCAGTCAAGGTTCAATCTTTAGAAGCGGCAGGATTTGTTCTGGCCAGTGTGGCTCTGCAGAATACTGAATGGTATGATAGAATCACTAATGCTGAGCTCTGGGAGAGAACTAAACAAGTTCCAGTGGACTAAGCAATGAAGAAAAGATGTTGGCATTGGATAGGACACATAATGAGAAAACCAGATAACAATATACAAGAAAACCAAAGAACAATATACTTACAATGTCTTTGCACTGGAACCCACAGGGGCATAGAAATAAACGCAGATAAAAAACACAAGAAGACGGGAGCTAGAGAGTGAACTTAAAAAAGATGGGGAGGACACAGGGTGAGCTGCATGCAATAACGAAGGATGAAAAGACTTGACGTGAGCTGGCTGAGGGCCTATGCTCCATTGGGGGATAGAAGGCAGAAGAAGAAGAATATGGCTTTGGGTTGAGCCAAGAATACAGTAGAAGTGAGTGAGTCCATTTACTGAGTTGGCTAAGGGCCTATGCTCCACTAGGGGATAGAAGGTGAAAGAACAAGACATGGCTCTACGGTTGAGCCAGAAATATGGTAACAGTGAGCCAGTCTCTCGCACACAAAGATGTGCCAGTGTGACTACAGACATCAAGCACAAAACAAAACTGTCAACTGAGTACTTTAACAATGCTAAAAAAAAATTTGGCTACATTCATAAACAACAAAATATTTGTTTGCAAACCTGTAGGTGGCACCATCTTTACACCCAATACGCAGACGTTTGGCAGCTTCAATGACAATCAACTCTGCGACCATCATGAGAGGAATGTTGATGAAGGACCGCTGTTCACAGGCATAGAATCTAAAGTTGGTTACCATGGCACTTCCGTCAGCCGTTTTTGAAATGAGAATTGGGTACTCTCCTGTCAAGGTTGGGAATGATGGCAGCTGTTCGAATGAAAAGCATACATAATTTCAGATGGTGGCTTCATGGAAAAGATTCAACAGACAGCAATTATATCAGGAAAAAGGTTCAACAGATCCCATAAAACAGTCAGAATATGGAAAATAGATTATGGAAAACAGGTAGATTAGGAGCGGCTGGCCAAGCGGTTGGACGCTGGGCTCTCAAGCGGGAGACCTGGGTTTGAATCCTCGGTAAGGCTGGGATTTTTTTCTGTCAGGGGCAAAATAAAATTCTCACCTGCCCAGTCGTGGCAACAGCACTAGCCATGCGGCCGTAAATCCTCAGGCTCAAAGACCCACCCCCCCCCCCCCCCCCCCCCCCCCCGCCTACACTGCAAAAGTGGTATAACAAGGGCAGTAATTGGCAGTTTTTTAAATAACTGGCCACAGATTATGGGGAAATGGCAGTCAGATTAAGGGATAACAAATATTAACAGATGTGACAAACAGCAGTCAGAATATATGGAAAATATACAGCAGTCAAAAAACAAATGTACTCAGGTATATGAGGTTTATGTGCTGTGCATGTAGAAGCTGTCCCGTTAGGGGAGAAACCATACACCTATATGTGACTAACCGTACACCCATATGTGACCAACCGTACACCCATATGTGACCATTTCAGTGCTTTCGTTCCTGAAAAGGGATCCAGTGCCTTAGCGTTACCGTTAACAGAACTAGACAAAAAATAATTACTTGTGGGTCGGTTTTCTAATGGGTACAGTTTTGTCAGGGCAGTGATCTGCGCAGCCTGTTCTTTTAGTTTCTGAAAAACCATTAACAAGCCCAGTCTACCAGGCAAGTGACATCCTCTGGTTTTTCCTGGAAATTTACCCAAAAGGATACAAAACTGTTGAAGCCAGAAGAAAAATACTAGAGCATTAAGTTAAGCAAAGCAGGAAATTACTCTTTCTTGTTCGCCTGAAATAGATTATTTATATCTGCAATGTTGTCCCTAGTATAAATTTCACTGTAAAGCAAGAAAAAACTGTTAACTAAAGCTAGAACCACAATAATAAACATGCTATGAATATGACAAAATGGTACAATCAATACCATACTGACATATAGTGAATCAAAATGCAAACATCAAACTACTTAAACAAAATGGAAACTGACCGATTGATTGTAATAATAATCAAATGAGCCCACTGAGCATACCCAGAGATGCTAAATATCCCACAGCAAATGTAAGGTTTAGCGGCTAATTGTTTCAGTAGCACATTGATTGTTCACATTATGTAGTGTTTCTCTTACATAACTAACCTCACCTTGCCACACCCATAATTGAACACCATTCTTGTATTGTTCAGTTTACATTTGTTTGTTTGTCTAACAAACCAGAAAGGTATAAAAGCCTACAACAGCTAGATGTGTTGGACAAAAAGGAAATTTACTGTAATTTTTGTCTTTTACGCGGTTTAAACACTCAGTGGTACCTTGGTTTATGAAGGCCTCCAGTCACGAACAAATGGACTTGCAAACACAATTTCCTAACAAATTTGGACTCAACACACGAACAATGCCCTGCAGCACGAACGCACAAACATGGTTTTGGCGACATGTTTTCAGGTCGCAAACAGCATCTGTTGTACTCACGTCTGCGCACCATGAACACTTGTTTCCCTTGTGTTGTTTGTGACACACTAAACATGAGAATGGTGTTCATGTTTCTGATCTCATTAAACAGTATGATACGGCTAAATCTTATGATCTGTGCTTTCTTAAAGAACAAAGATGCGCTAAAGACAGCTAAAGTGGCTAAAGCAGTGACTAGGCTCACGAAGCAAACATCTCAAGTGTTAGACAAATTATTGCTAGTTTATATTCATGGGGGGAGGGGGGGGAGCAGCTTGCTGGAGATAGTACTAGCAAGGCCCTAATATGTGATGAGGCTTTACTTTTGCACGGTGATTTAACGGCGAAAACGCCAAATAAAAGTGATGTTAGCGATGACAAATTTAAATCAAGCAGAGACCCGTTTGAGAAATTTTGTCGGCGAAATGGAATTCATAATGTTGTTAGGAAAATATGTTTTTAGGGCAGGAGGGAGAACAAATTAACTGGATTTGCACTCATTTCAATAAGAAAAATGGTTGTGGCTCAAGAACATTTTAATTCATGAACGGAGTCAAAGAATGAATTAAGTTTATCACCCAAGGTACCACTATATTTTTTAAAATGAAGAAAGAGTGTAACATTTTCTTATATATATATATATATAAAAGAAAAATGTACACTCTTTCTTCTTCTTTATAATCTTCTTCTTCACATTCAATGGCAGTAAACTCCAGCAGAAAGGTCTGGATATTCGTCCACCTCCGAACTTTAGTCTTGTTCCAGAACCTGAGCACGGCATGTACATCCATTTTACACCTCTGACTTACCTGTATGCAGACTGTAGATTCCTTGCCTCTCAGGCAAATGCTCCCCCCCCCCCCCCCCCCCCCGTTAGTCTGCTCTTACAACATGTTTGTTGGGGAAGCAATTGCTCTATTCTCGTTTCCCCCCACATTGGGGCACCAGAACCCTCATGGGAAAAACTCTTTCAAAACCCATGATACATTTATTGACAACTCAATATATGTCTGACACATTAACCCAATATATGTCTGACACATTAACCCAATATATGTCTGACACATTAACCCAATATATGTCTGACACATTAACCCAATATATGTCTGACACATTAACCCAATATATGTCTGACACATTAACCCAATATATGTCTGACACATTAACCCAATATATGTCTGACACATTAACCCAATATATGTCTGACACATTAACTCAATATATGTCTGACACATTAACCCAATATATGTCTGACACATTAACCCAATATATGTCTGACACATTAACCCAATATATGTCTGACACATTAACCCAATATATGTCTGACACATTAACTCAATATATGTCTGACACATTAACTCAATATATGTCTGACACATTAACCCAATATATGTCTGACACATTAACCCAATATATGTCTGACACATTAACTCAATATATGTCTGACACATTAACTCAATATATGTCTGACACATTAACCCAATATATGTCTGACACATTAACCCAATATATGTCTGACACATTAACTCAATATATGTCTGACACATTAACTCAATATATGTCACACATTAACCCAATATATGTCTGACACATTAACCCAATATATGTCTGACACATTAACTCAATATATGTCTGACACATTAACTCAATATATGTCACACATTAACCCAATATATGTCTGACACATTAACCCAATATATGTCTGACACATTAACTCAATATATGTCTGACACATTAACTCAATATATGTCTGACACATTAACCCAATATATGTCTGACACATTAACTCAATATATGTCACACATTAACCCAATATATGTCTGACACATTAACCCAATATATGTCTGACACATTAACCCAATATATGTCTGACACATTAACCCAATATATGTCTGACACATTAACCCAATATATGTCTGACACATTAACCCAATATATGTCTGACACATTAACCCAATATAAGTCACACATTAACTCAATATACGTCACACATTAACCCAATATATGTCTGACACATTAACTCAATATATGTCACACATTAACCCAATATATGTCTGACACATTAACCCAATATATGTCTGACACATTAACTCAATATATGTCACACATTAACCCAATATATGTCTGACACATTAACCCAATATATGTCTGACACATTAACTCAATATATGTCACACATTAACTCAATATATGTCTGACACATTAACCCAATATATGTCTGACACATTAACCCAATATATGTCTGACACATTAACTCAATATATGTCTGACACATTAACTCAATATATGTCTGACACATTAACTCAATATATGTCACACATTAACCCAATATATGTCTGACACATTAACCCAATATATGTCTGACACATTAACTCAATATATGTCTGACACATTAACTCAATATATGTCTGACACATTAACCCAATATATGTCTGACACATTAACCCAATATATGTCTGACACATTAACCCAATATATGTCTGACACATTAACCCAATATATGTCTGACACATTAACCCAATATATGTCTGACACATTAACCCAATATATGTCTGACATATTAACCCAATATATGTCTGACACATTAACCCAATATATGTCTGACACATTAACCCAATATATGTCACACATTAACTCAATATACGTCACACATTAACCCAATATATGTCTGACACATTAACTCAATATATGTCACACATTAACCCAATATATGTCTGACACATTAACCCAATATATGTCACACATTAACCCAATATATGTCTGACACATTAAAGCAATATATGTCTGACACATTAACTCAATATATGTCTGACACATTAACTCAATATATGTCACACATTAACCCAATATATGTCTGACACATTAACCCAATATATGTCTGACACATTAACTCAATATATGTCTGACACATTAACCCAATATATGTCTGACACATTAACTCAATGCAGGCCATCATTTCTCAACTCCGTCTGCTCAATTCTTCTGTAAAACAAAATAATTCTGTCACTTAACCTCTTTCTGTTCTGCAGTTTTGTAATTAAACAACATAGATTGACAGGTACTCTAATGTAGACAAATTATGGGACAGACAGTGTTAACGTAACAATAAACTTAAGTTGAAATAGTAATAATCCAATCAGGCAAATGTCCAGTGTCAAAACAAATATATCCTACCTGAGCTAAAGGATTGGAACGTTGAAGTGGTGGCACTTGCAGACAATCCACATCCAGTTTCTCTGGGGTCTAACAAACAAGAACATTGTTTACATGCAGAAGCTGGCTGCAAAATCAATGGCAAAGTATCTAGCTAAATATAAGTTAGTTGCTTACCCTTTACAGGATGTTGGTGAACCAATCCCAGAATGTTTGGCTGTTGTGGTTTTTCTAGGCAAATGTTTAGTTCAGCAGTCTGCCACTGTTTTCTGAACGGTACCACTGTCGAAACCAATGCAAATCATCCGCAGCTGGGATCAAACCCAGCACCCCAGCACTATGGTGCGCGTTTGCAATACCTAAGCCACTAATGTCGACACAACTAAATATAACAGTTAAAGGATTCTGTCTTAGCCACTGACCTTGTAGCTGTACCCTGAAAACTATTATTGTGTACTTGTTTGTTGGTGCAATACTAACATCATCTTGCCACTGAGAATAATCATGAAACACAGGGGTTTTATCTAGTCTGCCTATCATCATTATCATGTGATATATCAATAAGCAATCAAACAGAAGTCCATTTGTTGGCCATCAAATAATTAATCAATAACACACTGATAACTTCTTTGGCATATGTGATAGAACAGTAAACTGTAATGTTAAATACACATTGAGGAATATATCATAACAGTGAAAGGTAACCCCAAAAAACCTGTTATATTGAATACAGATCAGATCACTTGCCATTTCACGGTGATAGTTGTTGACAATGGATCGATTCCAGCATTAGTGGTTAAATACCATTTTTGCAGTCAATCTTTTGGTATTCTATCAGCTTATTCAAAAAAATTCCCCCCCCCCCCCCTCCTTTCCTCAATACTGTGGTGTCTTTTTAAACATACGAAAGAATTTTTTTTGGGGGGTCAAACCAAGACAACCTTATTTAGTTATTCCTTAAGATTCCTAGTTAGGAGTATTTAGGAAACAGAGTTGTTGGCAGCATTCTGTCTTTCATATCCTGACTTTCACCTGCTAAACTTTTAAACAATCAATTATTTCATTAAACAATAAAGCATGATTTTATTAGCAGGTGCTTGTATTAAATGGGAATGTGGCATTATAGAACTGCCAAATGTAGAGCCTATGAAAACTACCAGATATATTCTAGTCAAACATGAGCTGATGAAAATATGCTGACATGAGACAGGTGACAGTGACAGGCAACAGGTTCTCTTGCTAGACCTGAGACTCACAGTGTCAGATATGTACAGTCATGATGCAAATGGAAAAAAGGGGAAGAAACTTCAAAGGATCACATCTGTCTCATATTCAGCCCTTCCAAACACTAATCTTTCACAGTTTGTGTGTGCATCCGTTTTACAGATCTGACTCATATGCATGCAGACTGTTGGTTCCTTGCCTCTTATGCAGACACATTCTGACTTCACAGGAAGCTCTTACTTAGTTGACTCTCACAACATGCTATTGGGTAGGCAGTGGGTCTATTCTTGTTTTCACTACTATAGGGTCCCGGAACACACACATGGATTTGACACAGCCAGCAATTTGTTATGTATAATGCATTATAAGTTCACACATCAATATACATAGAATGTATATTTAATATAGAAAAATTAGCACAGCAATGATGTTAATTATGGCTCTTTTGTCCTCATAAAACTCCTGACAGGTTATCTTTTACCCCCTAAAGCCTTTGAATAGAGAAAAGTGAATCAGTACCCATATATATCTAAAGCCTTTGAATAGAGAAAAGTGAATCAGTACCCATATATATCTAAAGCCTTTGAATAGAGAAAAGTGAATCAGTACCCATATATATCTAAAGCCTTTGAATAGAGAAAAGTGAATCAGTACCCATATATATCTAAAGCCTTTGAATAGAGAAAAGTGAATCAGTACCCATATATATCTAAAGCCTTTGAATAGAGAAAAGTGAATCAGTACCCATATATATCTAAAGCCTTTGAATAGAGAAAAGTGAATCAGTACCCATATATATCTAAAGCCTTTGAATAGAGAAAAGTGAATCAGTACCCATAAATATATCTAAAGCCAAATGATGGTGGGGGGGGGGGGGGGGGTGTATGTCCCTGGTGGGGACAGAACCCCAACCATTGTATTCACACAAGCCAGCACACTAACTATAGAATAATGTTAGGGTAAAAATGTCCCTGGTGGGGACAGAACCCCAACCATTGTATTCACACAAGCCAGCACACTAAATATAGAATAATGTTAGGGTAAAAATGTCCCTGGTGGGGACAGAACCCCAACCATTGTATTCCCACAAGCCAGCACACTAACTATAGAATAATGTTAGTTAGGGTAAAAATGTCCCTGGTGGGGACAGAACTCCAACCATTGTATTCACACAAGCCAGCACACTAACTATAGAATAATGTTAGTTAGGGTAAAAATGTCCCTGGTGGGGACAGAACTCCAACCATTGTATTCACACAAGCCAGCACACTAACTATAGAATAATGTTAGTTAGGGTAAAAATGTCCCTGGTGGGGACAGAACTCCAACCATTGTATTCACACAAGCCAGCACACTAACTATAGAATAATGTTAGTTAGGGTAAAAATGTCCCTGGTGGGGACAGAACTCCAACCATTGTATTCACACAAGCCAGCACACTAACTATAGAATAATGTTAGTTAGGGTAAAAATGTCCCTGGTGGGGACAGAACTCCAACCATTGTATTCACACAAGCCAGCACACTAACTATAGAATAATGTTAGTTAGGGTAAAAATGTCCCTGGTGGGAAATGAACCCTGAAAGCTGTATTTTTATCATTAACCAGTAATCATACTAATCATAAAACAATGGGAACAAATAACGTTAATTTCCCCACACCCTGTCTATATACACACAAGGACTCTTCTGTCTAGTAGTTCCTGAGCCTCGTGACCTTCGCACAAGTTCAGACAGCTGTTCCCAACGCCATTAATATCGTGTGTTGTATATTTCAGCACGCCAGTGGGGGAAATAAAGGGGGGGGGGGGGGGGGATTTCCCTTCTGGAGACAAAATCTGACCACTGTTCTTCTTCCTTAAGTCCATGACGTGTGGTGTTAACAGGCACGTCTATCCACAACCTTCTGCCTCATTTACTTTCAATCAACTCTACACAGACGATCCTCCTTGCCATGATGTCAAAGTATCCAGCATCTTTTCTCTTGGTCCCCCTCTGCCTCTCCTCTCCTCCCCTTCCCTTCCAACTTTCCTGCTATCACAATTTACTCCAGTTTTTCTGCTTCTGAATATATGACCAAAGAATGTAGATTGTCACTTTCTGATGTGGGCAATCAGTTCTCTTCGTGAGGCACTTTCTTTTAAGACATCCTCGTTACTCTTTGTATCTGTCCTGTGTGTTCTCATCATCTATATATATAAAAATCAATGTTTGTGTGTTTGTTTGCTCCTTATAGACTCGGAAACTACTGAACCGATTTAGCTGAAATTTTCAGGATATGTTTGTTTTGATACCGGATGTTAAACCATCATGGTTTGAAATTCAACCTGTCACTGTTAGAGATAGGTGACCACAATTTAAGCAAAAATATTCGAAACTAATATTTAAATTGTTAGTGACATCTAATTATAGCCACGTTAGTAATTGCGCATGCGTCGTAGTCAGAACGCAAGTCTTCCGCTATTCACCGGCGAGTTACGTGCAGCCAACGCCTTCTCTAAGAACATAGAGTAGGTCGTGGTACAGCAAACAAGACTATCTCTATATTTGTGTAGGCAGTGATTGCCACAATAACCATATTAAACACGATTTCTATTTTCTGTTTTTTTTTCAAACAACCTTTATGGGAAGGGGGTATGGGGGGCATCAAGGACTATCTCGACGTCGGCGCAGACATTGACTGCGACATTAACTTCATTAACCGTGTTAGACACGTGCGATTTCTATTGTTGTGCCGTTTCTTTAATATATCTGGAGTATCTGTCTATGAGAAAACAATTGCCTGCGGTTTTGAGTTGTGTTATAATCAGACACAGTAGTAGTAGGGTCACACATCTCAATACTTTAGTTCTCTTTTCGTTGCTCCTATGAAGTGGCTGCTTGTTCGAATGGTTACAACACTGGGTTCCTGTGCGGGAGACCAGGGTTTGAATCCGCAGTAGTAAATTTTTTTTACCCCGGACTGAAATAATATCCTTATCTGCTCTGTCGTGGTGACAGCACTAGCCATGTCGCCCTTAATACTAAACAAAAAAAAAAAGACAAGTAAATGGGTAAACTATTTGATAATTAAATTTGACCATTTCGCATACTTATGATTGCATTTTTAAACTTTCCGATTGCATGGTTACGCTGAAATTTCATAGCTTTCCATTTATTTTCATTTAGATTTAGTTATTTCATCTGCGTTGGAATTTTAAGCTGTGCTTGCTTACCATAGCATTCATTTCCTAATTATTGTTTTTTTTTTTCCTGTTTTCATTTGCTTTTCAAGTTTTTTTTTTTTCTTCCAACTACTTCAATGAGGGAAAGAGTTGTCGGTGAATTTTTTTTTTGGAGGGGGGGGGGGGGGGGGGGGGGGGCAAACTGTTAACTGAGAGAGCTTTAAGTCTCAGTAACTGCTTTACCCACTAAAAGTAGCAGCAACAGTAATAGTTGTGGTTGGGCTGTTACACCGTAGTGCTCTCATGTGAAGACCGCCGGTAAGGTTATGGCGTTCTTCTGTCGGGAAGCGAAATTATACATCCTAACCTGACCAGTCTGTGGCGACAGCCCTAGCCATGCGGAACCAAATCTTCTGGCTCACGACTCTCTCACTACTCCGATGGTAACACAGATAGCAGTGACATTATTTTAGCTACTGTGGTGGTGGTCGTGGTAGTAGTTGTACTGGTACTTGAAGGATGATGTAAATATTACACTAGCTCCATTCACTACCTATTACAATTCCTGCTCCCCATTTTAGTCCGGATGGACAGGGATGTCAATGTCAGTTACAGCAACAACAAAAATATCGGTAATGATTTTCAAATCTTTCGAAGAGGAAGAGAGCAGTAGTCGGTGGAAGAGGGGAGGGGAGGGGGTAATGACTTCAATTTAAGAGAACTTAAAGAGCTTTACACGTGATTTTCAAGTTCTCATTACCTAAATTGTTTATATTTTACTAATGCTACCTCCGCTTTTCTATTTTTTACGACTTACTTTGTTATTTACAAGTAAAGTTGTAGCTTTACTTCCGTCTCATATAAAAATACAAACAGCTTTAGCATGTGATAACCAAATAACCATTTTTGTTACTGTGCTAATAACACCATTTAAACGACTAATAATATAAAGACACAATTATAAGGTGCGTGTTCTAAAGTTGGAAAACCAGACTATCTCTATATCTGTGCAGAAAATGATTGCGACATTAACTATATCAGACACGAGCGATTTCCATTGTCTTTCTTTTCCAAAAACTTTTCATTAGGGAGAGAGTAGTAGGTGGATTTAGTTGTGGTGGTGGGGTGAGGGGGGGGGGGGGGGGGGAGGGGGGGATCAAAGACTATCTCTTATCTGAGCAGACAATGATTGTATTAGACACGTGCGATTTATATTTTCTTTCATTTCCATTTAGCCAAACTATGCCACAGCAACGCGTGGCCGGGTACAGCTAGTCTGTCTATAAAAACCACATCTCCACAGCTTCCGAATAATTTTTCACTAATCTACCAGCTGTCCATGATTCACTCCCATGCATCAAGATAGGATTTATATAGCTTTCAAGACCACTGTATTTATCATAAACCAGTATACTAACCACAGGGGTCGTGTTAGGGCAGTCGATAGGAGACCTGCTTTCAAATCTAGCTGTGACTCGCTGCAGCCCATGGCCGGTGTTCGAAACTAGTTGGGGAAAATGCTCATGATGGGGACAGAACCCAGACCAATGTATTCATCAGCTAGTACACTAACCACAGAATAATGTTGGCTGACAAAAGAATGGCGACTAAGCCCAGAACACTGTATTAATTATAAACTAGTAGACTATGTTGCTGAAGCACAAGGATCCCAGCAAACAAAACCAACACATCCAAACTTGCATAAGGTAGAGAATTAACAGCAGAGACAAACAACATAGTCAAGATACTGGAAGAGACTGGAACTATCAGACAGCAAGAGAAGGAGACACTGAAATGGGCTAGCTATGGTTCTATTCTTCAAAATCTTAATAAACACAATTGTCATAATTTGAAAATCACAACAACAAAAAATACCTGAATGCTTGGGTTAGATCGGTCATGTGGTGAAGCTGGTTTAGAATTCATGTCCATTTTATTGATGTCTGAAAAAGATAAAAATTGGTTTATGGTCAGGTATGGAAAGATTGGTTTATGGTCAGGTATGGAAAGATTGGTTTATGGTCACAGGTATGGAAAGATTGGTTTATGGTCAGGTATGGAAAGATTGGTTCAAGTGAGTATGCGGGAAGGCAATGCTATCAGACTATTCAGCAGGGTCCACGCAAAAAAGTGTTTAGATCTGCATTATTTTCAGAACAGTTCTCACTAACAGTCTATAGATGTAGTACATGACAAGTTTATAGATGTAGTACATGACAAGTTTATAGATGTAGTACATGACAAGTCTATAGATGTAGTACATGACAAGTCTATAGATGTAGTACATGACAAGTCTATAGATGTAGTACATGACAAGTCTATAGATGTAGTACATGACAAGTCTATAGATGTAGTACATGACAAGTCTATAGATGTAGTACAGACAAGTTTATAGATGTAGTACATGACAAGTCTATAGATGTAGTACATGACAAGTCTATAGATGTAGTACATGACAAGTTTATAGATGTAGTACATGACAAGTATATAGATGTAGTACATGACAAGTCTATAGATGTAGTACATGACAAGTTTATAGATGTAGTACATGACAAGTCTATAGATGTAGTACATGACAAGTCTATAGATGTAGTACATGACAAGTCTATAGATCTGGTACATGACAAGTCTATAGATGTAGCACACAAAGTCTTTAGATATAGTACATGACAAGTCTATTGATGTGGTACATGACAAGTCTATAGATGTAGTACATGACAAGTCTATAGATGTAGTACATGACAAGTCTATAGATGTAGTACATGACGAGTCTATAGATGTAGTACATGACAAGTCTATTGATGTAGTACATGACAAGTCTATAGATGTGGTACATGACAAGTCTATAGATGTAGCACACAACAAGTCTTTAGATATAGTACATGACAAGTCTATAGATGTAGTACATGACAAGTCTATAGATATAGTACAAGACAAGTCTATAGATGTATTACATGACAAGTTTATAGATGTGGTACATGACAAGTCTATAGATATGGTACATGACAAGTCTATAGATGTGGTACATGACAACTGCTTCTCTTTGGCCTTAGTCATTCTTTTTCTTCTTCTTCTTCATCACTTCTTCTTTTACCACTTAGGGTGTCTAGGCGAATATAAGGTCCACTTCTCGCTTTTCTGACCGCCCCAACCATACATACATCATACTATTGTAGAGTTTTTTCTGATGTTCTTTCCATCTTGTTCTTGGTCTACCTAGTACTCTACATCCTTTTACGCTTTTAGCATTTGCCTTCTATGGTACAGTGTCACAATGAAAACCTTTATTGTTGTTGCCGTCTTTGTGTGCAATTCAGTTCCATCAACCCAGCCATAAATGAGTACCAGGAAATGTTCTAGAAGCAAGTCTCTCAATCCAGTCCATCAAATATCAATCAGTGACGTGCCTCCACATTTTTTCTCCCGAAATCAATATGAATCTCTGTGAAAGATTTCACAAATATTGGTTCATTCAACAGAGGGAAAAAAGTGAACTTAACAGCAGCCTATGAAAGGCCTTAATTGCAAACTGCATGCCAGCAAGCGAAAACACTGACCACAATACAACCATTTCACACAATGAGAAAGCAAACAAAGTGTCAAACAGCTTGCGAGTACACCCTGTTTCAAATACAATAAGGAAAGACTGGGATTATTATGGTCAGAATGCAGCAACACCAGTTATCAATAATGACACTTCACCTAAAGTGACAGGGGAAAGGGAACCCAAGAAGGGAATGGATAGACAGCAAGGAGGACTCACAAAGAATGGTAATATATTGTGCCACCTATAGAGGGCAGGATCATCAGCTATTACTACCCATGAAACTTAACAACAGAAGTGTATGATGATGATGAAAGAGTGTTTCTACATTACCTGTACAAACTACAAGCAAACTGTGCTGCTTCTTACATGTATTAGTGAAGTGCTGACTGCTGGCCTGTGCTGCTTCCTGCATGTATTAGTGAAGTGCTGACTGGGCCCTTCACGTTAAACACACAGCTGAAGTGTCTGGAGCTCAAGGCCACAACACTGTGTCAACACTGCAGCAGTTTATAATACTATAGTACGTTACTACTAGGAAACACTGCACAAGTCTGCAGCTGATAAGATATCAACATGGTCTAGTCCCAAGGTCACAGGCTTTCTGAAGCTGTTATAGATGCAGGAAATGTACATTCTCATAGAGTAAGTGACAAGAGAAAGAAGCATGGAAAACAAAGACTATTCTTCTTCTTCTGCCACCCTTTATCTCCAGTTAGAGCTCTGACCCATGACCAACTCACACCAAGTAGATTTCTTCATAGGCAGCTAGTGTTTGTGAACTGTGGAAGGGAATACCTAACCCTAAAATCAATCCTCCTTTGTTGCAGACCATGATAAGCTAGGGGAGTGACTGAGGTTACTATTGTTGACTTCCTCAAATGGCCCCTGTAATATACTAGCAAAATTACAAAACAGAATAAGTGTGAGGCAAATATTTTATGTGAATCCCTGACATGTGAAATGCCTGAGAAATGCCTCTCACATTTTCATACCCAGGGCACAACTGAGCACATGGAGCATGAAGTCAGTTTTTCAGACTGTGAATTAAGACACACTCAGCCACATACCAGTACACAATAGCTCTTCAGTTCTGTTCTGGTCTAATTCTGCCAAGTAAGAATTCTTTTCTTAACAAACCCAAAAAAATTTGCTGGGCTCAAAGATTATTACCATCTTTACCATTGTGATTACCACTGTCAGTACGCCAGGAGGGTTTCAGGGCAGAACTATGTCATTTACGAGGTGGACTCTTGGGAACAAAATGCCATAGACCATGTTGTGTGGAGGGGGCGGGGCGTATCAGAAAGGGAATAAGATTGAAAGAAGAAATGATTGCAGAAATGAGAATGAGAGCTAAGCATCCGAGAAGAAACAGATTAAACACAAATGTTGACAATAAGTAAGTAAAGTAAAGTTCCTTTTTCACGCCTTTCGGAGCATCGGGAATATGGGCAGAGCGTCCCATATTTTTACAGACCATCAGCACTCTGTGGGTAATGTGGTCAGCATTACGCCGGCTGACTTTACTTTCCCAGGACAGCCCATCCTGGTACCCATTTTAGGCTGGGTCGACCTGCGACGACCCATACCACGACAAAAAATCCACGCAGCCTGCAGTGGGTTTCGATCGCAGTATGCTGGCTTACGAGTCGGACTCGCAACGCCTTAGCCACGGACGCCGCAATGTTGACAATAACCGTCCTGAAATCCTATGCTATAATTGTGGAAGAATTTTCTTAACGCGGGCGGGTCTTGCTAGTCACACTGGCCATCGCGATGGGTTGCGAGTCCCATGCCTCCTCATAGCGCGGTGTAACACTATCCTCTGAAAAGACGGAAAGGTGCCAATCCTCATGTCACTTAAAAACAGGTGCCAGAACCTCAGAGCTCAGGCTTCTTAACCCTCATTTCCCCGCCCCCAATTGTGTTAAGGGGCTTATTTACGCCAACAACTTAAGGCCTTGTGCAGCATGAAAATGCAGGAGTGCTGAGACTGCAGGGCATTTAAATTGTTGGGTTCTTTTATGTTATATCCCCCAATTCAAAAATAACCGGACAGTCTAATATCTTAGGGGTGTTCCAAAAATAGACTTTTTAAACAGTGAAATTCCGGTACATTACGTGGCGAAGAGTGTATTGTTTGTTGTGTTTTGTCATCATCATCATCAACTGAAATATATGTTAATGAGGAAAGATTGGAAGTGGTGGAAAATTTCGAATATCTTGGGTCACTGGTTACCAACAATGGTGACACAATGAAAGAAATTAAACGGCGACTATCAATTGCTCTTCAAAGACTAAAACAACTGAATAAATTATGGAATTGTACAGATAGAATTACAAAGGTCAGATTTTTAAGAGCATGCATCTTTCCCATTGCAACATACGCCTGTGAGACCTGGACACTTACTAAACAAGCGGAACAGCGCATAAATGCATTTGAATATAAATGTTACAGACAGGTTCTAAGAATATCTTGGGTAAAGAAAAGAACAAATGCATCCATACTTCAAGCGCTGAATATTGAAGAGGGTTGGCTAGTAAAGACAATAAAACAAAGAAAATTGAAATATTTTGGTCACTTGAAACGTCATGGAAGTCTAGAGAGAACAATAATGGAGGGGTATATGCCTGGGAAGAGAGGAAGAGGAAGGCCAAGGAGAAGATGGGTGCAGGATGTGGCAGATGATCTCCAGATGGGTGTATCAGACGCAGGACATCTTGCTCAGGATAGGAAGGTTTTCCGGAGGGTTGTTATGGCAGCGAGGTTCCGCGAGGGACATGCTACTGAATGAATGAATGAATGAATGAATGAATGAATGAATGAATCATCAACTACTGCCGTTAAGCGGCGCGGGGATCAATAAATTGCGATCTAGTGCATTTGTGTTTTGTCATCATCTACTCCTGCCGTTAAGCGGCGGGGGGAGGAATAATTTGCGTTGCAGTTAATTTGTGTTTTGTCATCATTATTATCTACTTCTGCCGTTGAGCGGCGTTGGGAGAAATAATTTGCGATCCATGGCATTTGTGCTTTGTCATCATCATCATTAGCTACTTCTGCCGCTAAGCGGCGTGGGGAGGAATATTTTGGGATCCAGTGCATTTGTGCTTTATCATCATCATCATTATCATCAGTTTTTACCGTAAAGCGGCGTGGGGAGGAATAATTTGCGATCCAGTGCATGTATGCTTTGTCATCATCATCATTATCATCAGCTTCTTCTGCAATTAAGCGGCGTGGGGAGGAATAATTTCCGATCCACTACATTTGTGCTTTGTCATCATCATCACTATCATCAACTACTTCTGCCGTTAAGCGGCGAGGGGCGGAATAATTTGCAATCCAGTGCGTTTATGTTTTGTCATCATCATCATTATCATC